CAATATACATGATAAGGAGGATGGCCAGGAGGACAGTGATCATTATCACCTTTATGTGACATCTGTTTACCTGGCCCTAAGATTAACATCATACATCAAAGAAACTCGCCCACTGTCTTTGATGACCCAGGATCCTGCCTGGCGAAGCAACTGGGCTGTGTACGTGACTTGTGAAGAAAGAGAAATGGGCAGTGGAGAAAATGGCCAGAGATGTAGAGGTGTGGATTGATCAAGAATCATATCAAAATAGTTTAAACCCAGTCAACGCAATGCTTTCATTGCTGACACAGATGGCTTACTCTATACTTGTTATAATTCCTCATAGCAATCCCACCTGATCACTACATCTCCAGATATTTGCACTCCTACACACAATGCTTTGCTCATTGATGAACTCAAAAGAGATTAGGTATGACATTGCTTATTATTGGAACTATTTGCAAAGTTCAGTGCATTGAATTTGCAGTTGCAAGGAAATGAGGCCAAACTTGTCACCTCTATGTTTATTTCAAAGTCAACTCTATTCAAGCACAATATAGCATACTCTCCAAGTGTCCAGGTTTAAATGGGACATCTCAGATTGACAGAAGCCACCCCAGCTTCTGATACCAATCTGGGATGTTCAGTTTTGGCTCCCATACTATGGTGGGACCAAAAGGTGAGTATTTTTGGTTTCATGCTGTGGCACAAGTCAGTTGGCTCTGTAATAAACAAAAACCTGTCCTAATTCCCTTATGGGGGACACAAGAGCCCTTATAGAGTCCTTTGTTGGTTCTCCATCGGTCAGAGAAAATAACAGAGGCCAACCAGAGAATATTGAGAAGCAAAGCAGCTATTAAGCTTGATCTTTATTGAACTGTTGCAACAGGGTGCCCCCTTCACACGCAGGAGAAGGAGGAGGACCCAGAACCAAGGTGTGCCTGCCCTTATATAGACATTTTAAATTCCCTGCCCTGGAGCTCAAGACCATCCTTCCATACATCATACATACATCACAGAAGGGGTGTAACCCAAGCCCACCCCCACAAACATCATACGTACATCACAGAAAAGATGGTCTACAACAGAAATTTGAATGTTGTTGTTTTTCCTGGGTGCCAGGTTATCTGATAATGCCTTATCTGATTGCCTTTCCTGGTAATCTGCCCATTCCTTTGAGATGGTGATTACCCAGTTCCTGAGACAATGGGAAGGCTCCCCCACCCCTCCTTGCAGAGAAAACATTTGGTCAGTTGGGGAGTTAGAATGGTTTCAGGGCGGTCCTCCTGTGCTGCTCCAGACATGTGGTTCACACATCTATGTATGCGCTTGGTTGGTACATTTATGAACATTTATTATATATAAGACCTCATTTTTTTTAATTTCAGCTCACACCAGAGCACAGAACCAACAAATGGGGGGAAACCTTTCCTTTCCCCCACCACTCTTCTTCCTCCTTCCATCATGGCACTTCCAGAAGCTGGCTTCCAGAAGTACGTCTGCAGTGCTGGCAAAGGAGGAGGAGGAGGAGGCCATGCCTTCCCCTAGCCTGTGCCAGCCAGCACAGTATCACCCAGTGCCACAGAAATAGAGGTAGAGACAAAAGAGGAGGAGGCCAGTGGACAAAGGTAGCAGGGGGAGTAGGCAAGTGGACAAGCAATGGGATCATCAGGATGTGGGGGCTGGTGTCCCAGTTTGGCCTCTTGAAATGATGGAGGACATGATCTATGCCCTTGCAAGCTATACCAATTTCTGAGCCTGTCTGAGCTGTTCTGTGAGGTTATTTTGTGTCCATTTGGATTTGCCTGAGCAACTTGCGGATCTTCTTTCATTGGAAATTCCAGATTGGGTGGTAAATCCATTTTCAGATACTTAGGAAGTTGGATAGTGAAGGAAGAACCAACTGAGCAACAGAATGGCATTGAGCTGAAGTTTAAGAAATCACACCAAAGGTTTTGGTTATAGAAATAAATTTCTGTGTGCTACTTACAGGGGAATCAAAACTGGAAGGGTTTGGATAGAAGTAAATTTCTGATCTCTATCCTGCACTATGGACAGTGGTTAAGAAACTCCTTGTTGCATTTCCAACATATTTGGTGGAATGTGGTATTAGTGTGTTCATCCAGTTTCTCTCCAACTTGACTCCAGATTACTAAACATGGTGTTTTAAGACTCCTGCTAAGTGACTTCAAATCAGACATTGGGAAACTGGTATCACTTCATCAAACTCATCCATTGCATTAAGAATTTATTGAACAGTGAGATAGTTAGGAAATGTGGTATCTAAGATTCTTGCTAAATTACTAGTAGACTTTGAAAAGCTGGTATCGCTGCATCAAATCCATCAATTTTGTTGAATTAATTAAACTAAATGGTTTTTAAATTAAACTAAACTGATTTTTAATAAATGTGCAATAATTGTTACTATTTTGATTTTTTGTCTTTCTTAGTGGCTCCACAATTCTTCCATGTTCTCACCGCCTCAAGGCAAGGAATCACACAGGGGTGGAAACTGTGCTGCAAACAGCAACTTTCTGTGCAGACATGCAATATATCTACATATGTAGTGGTTTCGCTCCTACAATACACACTAACTTTAAGAAGTGCTTTCTCTTGGAGAAGAATATTTTCATACACATATGTTTGGAAAAGAAAGAGAATTAAATATATTCCAGAAGACTTTCCTTGGCTAACAGAGTGTGTGGAAACAAAATAGAAAGCACTTAAGGTGGAAGGTGGAGCTTTGGGGACATTTGGACTTGAAAGGAGTAAGAAACAAGATTCAGGCTCCACTTTTAAATATGGAGGTCTGGCTGGAAGAAACATGGACCTTATTGGGCCAGAGCTTCTCTGAAATCTGGTGCTTAATACCAAGGACTACCAAAAAAACCGGCAGAGAGGAATTGAGAGAGAATTAAGAGCCTCGGACGTGAGATCTCCAGGCTGATAGTAGATTGATGGACGTTTGTTGGGGATTGAAACCGGGAAAGGGGGGGGGTGGAGTCTGGGAATCCAAAGGGTGTATAATTTAACCTGTTCTGTTTTTATTTTGTTTGGATATTTGTATGAAAATTGGGGAAATCGTGGAAGGGAATTTAGGCCGACTTTAGAAAAAGGTTTAAAGAATAAGCAATGATGTATAAATATGAAGTTTATAAGGCAAAATTGGCTTTTTTAAATGAACTAAATATAAAAAGGTTTAAAAATAGGGATAAGAACTTGTCGAACCAACAATCTGAACTGGAATACAAGAGGGGGAGGTGTGGGGAAGTCAGGGAAATATGTTATAGAAAATAAGGATTGTGAACTTTATGTGTTTTTAAACTTTTTTTTTTGTTTTTTCTCTTTTTTGATTTTTTATGGTGGAAAATTTTAATAAATATCTTTAAAAAAAATAGAAAGCACTATGGATAGAATTTCAGTATGTAGATTTTTCAGAATATTTGTGGTAAAATATTCACTAACCCAGGCTGTATCACACTGGTCGCTGGGTATTTAGTATAAAACTCTATAGTCAAGATGCACTGGCCGAGGGGCTATGAAATATGATGGAAGCCCCACTGTGCTGGTGGAACACCACTGCAATGAAATACTGGTGCTGCTTTGATACACTGGTGGGACTCTCTGCAGGGATATCCATTCCATGGGCACAGCTTTACTGTGGTTTGGGTGCAAGGAGGGCTGTGTACAGGAGGACGAGGCATGGGCAGATGGCATGAAGGCGTAAACTGGGGCAAAGCAGAGCTGCAGAACAGAAGATACAAGTGGCCTCAGTAATGGGGTTGGGACAGGCATGCAATCCTATCTGTAGCATGCAGTTCTCCAGCAAACGAAAGCACAATTAAGTGTAAGTAGATAAATAGGTACCACTTTATAGCGGGAAGGTAAACGGTGTTTCCGTGTGCTGCGCTGGTGCCGGCTCGCCAGAGCAGCTTCGTCACGCTGGCCACGTGACCCGGAAGTGTCTCCGGACAGCGCTGGCCCCCGGCGCACAACCCTAGAGTCGGACACGACTGGCCCGTACGGGCAGGGGGACCTTTACCTTTCTCTTTATGTGAAATGCACAATCAGGTCTTGTAACAGTGCCTGGGGAACTCACTGAGTGGAAGGTGCTATAGCATTGATGTTTGTGTGCAGGGAGGGCCAAGGTGTTACTGGGGATGTCCACCTCAACATCACTGCATTGGCTCTCCCCGTGCCCAAGTTGCAATGAGAAGAAGAAGAAGCAGAAGAGTTTGGATTTGATATCCCGCCTTTCACTCCCCTTCAGGAGTCTCAAAGTGGCTAACATTCTCCTTTCCCTTCCTCCCCCACAACAAACACTCTGTGAGGTGAGTGAGGCTGAGAGACTTCAGAGAAGTGTGACTGGCCCAAGGTCACCCAGCAGCTGCATGTGGAGGAGCGGGGACGCGAACCCGGTTCCCCAGATTACGTGACTACCGCTCTTCACCACTACACCACACTGGCTCTCTATCCCTGTGAAAGGTAAGCACCGCTTGTGTTTGCATGGAAGCTGGGTTTTTTTTGCTTTTAAGCATGCTTTCCCTCTTCTTCCTCTAGGCTGGCCTAGTTCACTCCACCCCTCTGGTAATTTGTGTTTAGATCACTCCTTCCTTCAGAGGCGTGGGAACAACTCCAATTCTTGATTGAAATACATACCAGATCTAACCTTGACATAAGCGCTAAAAGAATTAATGCAAAGTGAGATGCAGCCCAAGCACTAATTAGATACGATGCAATAAATGTTGCCACATCTGTCTTCAGTGCGGCCTGTATAAAAGGTTGTTGGTGAATGAAAGAGACAAGTGACAATATCTTTGAAGGGAAGCAACACGCTCTTGGGGAAACTATGTTCCAATGCACACAGCTATACTAGCAAAAGAAATCCACGGAGGAAAGATAACAACAGGAGAATGGCAGGGATCTTGGAAATTTTGTTTTTTGTGCTGGTGGCTCTTCTGATTCTGCACTTGAGACAGCTCTGGTCACACAGACATTACCCTCCTGGACCTTTCCCACTTCCTGTCATTGGAGGCATGTGGCAGATTGGGAAAATACTTTCGCCAGATACTTTCCTGAAGGTACTTCTTTCTAAATCATTCACTAGTTGAGTAAGAAGCTGGCTTAATAGAACTGCAGATTATTTTATTTCTACAGCAACTGGTGAGTAAAGTGTTGTGTTGGTAAAACCTTCTGGAAAATGGAAGTGTGACATGTAGTGCAACGTCAATTGGAACATTTGTTCCTCTCTTCATCAAAACTACAGTATTCTGCAGGTATTCTGCATGCTATAGCAACTTTAATTGTACACATAGTAAATTCAATTAAGGATTTCAATGTAATAATAATAATAATAATAATAATAATAATAATAATAATTTATTATTTATACCCTGCTCATCTTAATCTGGCTTGGTTTCCCCAGTCACTCTGGGCAGCTTCCAACAAAATATTAAAAATACAATAAAACATCAGACATTAAAAACTTCGGGTCATTCCATGTCAGTTCAACGCGTCATGTCACCCACTGTCTCGCATTTTGATGAAACTTGGTGTACACCTTTCCCTTAAGGTTGAAAGAAACCCCCTTAAATTTCCCCCCTCTATCTCAAACGGTTTTACTTTTATAGCACTTCAAAGTTTCGTGAAATCTGCATTTCTGTTCCTCTTGAGATCCTTGGCCTTGCGTACATTTTATTTTTTCCCCTCCATAACCAATGATCATATCAGATAGAGGGGGGACATTTAAGGGGGTTTCTTTCAACCATAAGGGAAGGGAATACACCAAGTTTCATCAAAATCTGAGACGGTGGGTGACGAAACCCTTGTTTTTTGCATTGATTTGATGTGGAATGACCCTTTCCCTAAATAGGGCTGCCTTCAGATGTCTTCTAAAAGTCAGATAGTTATTTATTTCCTTGACATCTGATGGGAGGGCGTTCCACAATAACCGCTTCTCACAGTGAGGGAACCGCCAGAAGGCCCTTGGTGCTGGACTACAGTGTCCGGGCTGAACGATAGGGGCGGAGATGCTCCTTCAGGTATACTGGGCCAAAGCCATTTAGGACTTTAAAGGTCAGCACCAACACACTGAATTTTGCTGGGAAATGGACTGGGAGCCAAGTAGGTCTTTCAATATTTCAAATTTCTCATCATAACGAATCTTATCTGGCTTGTTTGCATCACCAATAATCATTTTTTAAATATATAATGCCAGATTGATTGGCTGTATGATTACCCTGTATTTAATTTTGGGGGAGCAAATCCATATACATTATTCAGGGATATATAAGAAAAGAAAAACTTTTTGTATACATTATATTAGCTGCAATATTCTAAAATACGTTTGTGAATTACTTTTTTACATATGGGATGACTTTATATTTGACCATAAATTTAATATTCTATATATGTATATGTATATTCTATACACTGCATTTACTCGATTGTAATGCATACCTTTTTTTGGCCAAATTACGTCATGAAAATTAGGGTGTGCATTAGATTTGATGGCACATTTACATTCACCAGCAAATACTTTTTTGGTTTCAAGGTTTTGAAAATTGAGGTGCACATACTGTATGTATATGTAAATGTCTCCCATAAAACAAAATGATTTCTATTAACTAATATATTGTTATAAGTAGAGTGGGGAGATCTTCCATTAAACCCAAGAAATTGATGAATGTCAGAATCTAGCTAATATTGGGGATATGAATGCAAAACACAATCTGCAGAACTGTGCCACACAAGGAATCCCCGGGCTGGCTTATGGGAACCAGCTTGACCAGGGCTAGTTAAGAACAAAAACATTAATAGACAAAGGTGTGGATGGCTTGTGATTAGCACATCAAAGGAAGGTTCTCAGGTCTGTCCTCACAGGCTGGCGTCACAGGAGAAATGTTGCTCTAAAAAACTAGGCTTGGGATAGCAGATGGATGGGGAGGAGTTGCTTGGAGCAAAGGTGTGTTAGGAAGAAGAAGGAGAACAAAGACAGTGCCTTGGACGAGAGCCTTGGACTATAGTGCTACACTGCTGCGGGGAACAAGCCACCCCAGAGATGACCATCCTGTAAGATCTGGACTCCCACAATTCAAATTCAGTTGCAAATATGCGAATAAATCATTTTTCTTAAAGCTACAACAGTTTCCACTACATCCTGATTCTCAAAGTAGCACAGACCCTGTGGGAGTGCCTGGAACCTCCTTGGCATCTTGCCACAGCAGCTTGGCAGAGATTGGAGGTGCCCCCCAACCTTTTAACAATATAAAGAATTATAAGGGCTATAAGAAACCCACCCTGGATTGAGAAAATCTAAGCAACTATTAGCCAGTTTTGAGTTCGAGCACTGCCAGGGCCACTGCTGCACAGAAAAGCACCTGTGAGCTGCTGCAGCCACCACCACCTCACCTGGTGCTTGTGAGCAGGACCTACCACAGGGGAGGAGGGTCAACTCCTGCCTGAGTATCACTCCTTCAGGGATGTGTTCTGCAAGAAGGAGCCAGCAAAGTTGCCATGGCACCAACTATATTGCTGTGTGATTGAGCTATTCCTGGGGGCGCCCTTCCCTTGGAGCTGCCTCTACCCAACGTCTGAGGCTGAGCTTACAGTTCTGTAGTAGTTCCTGGATAATGATTTGGCAACAGGCTTCTTGCAGTCATTGAAGGTGCTGGATGGTGCCCCAGTAGTGTTTGTCAAGAAGAAGTGGGCAGTGGAGCTGAAGGTAAAAAAGGGTAAAGGATTCCTGGACAGTTGAGTCCGGTCAAAGGCGACTATGGGGTTGCGGCACTCATCTCACTTTCCGGTCGAGGGAGCTGTGACGGAAGCCAGAGAGCACGGAAACACCATTTACCTTCCTGTCACAGTGGTACCTATTTATCTACTTGTACTGGTGTGCTTTCAAACTGCTAAATTGGCAGAAGCTGGGACAAAGCAATGGGAGCTCATCACCAACCTTCCAATCAGCAAGCCCAAGATACTCAGTGGTTTAGACCACAGCACCAACTGCGTCCCTTTAGTGGAGCTGAAACCTTGCTTGGATTATAGAAACCCCAACCTGATCAAATCCCCACTTGGTACCCATTGCCTCTCTGAATGGTTTTCCTTTGCCCCACTCCTTTCCCATGGAAGACTCATTCTTTAGTGCTAAATCGGAGCAAATGTCAATCTGAATAAAATCTGAACTTCTGTTTGTTCTGACTGAGCACTAAAGAGTGGTTTTCCTTGCAGGGGGGGGGGCAGCAGAACAAGATTTAGTGTGGGTAAGTCCTCAGTCTCACAACAACTGGACAGCCTTGAAATACACTCTGTTGTGGCGAAGAAGAAGGCTTTGCCAGCTCACTGAATGCCTGTGGCAATGGGCTATAGTCACAAAAGCTTGTAATAATCTGCTATATTTTAACATGACGGTTCTCTTTTCTACTTTGATGCTAATGGCAGCTGGCTAAGCAATATGGAGACATTTACAATGTATGGCTCGGACATTATCCTATGGTAGTACTGTCTGGATTCCAAACGGTGAAAGAAGGCCTTACAAACTCACCAGAAGTCTTGTCTGAACGACCGGTGACCGTTTTCCTGAAAGCTGCACTTAAAAAAAAGGGTAAGTTGTTGAGAAGGCTGATGGGTTTTGCTGGCCCTATCTCCAGAGAAGAGTATAAAATCAAACTCTGACTATGCCCATCAACCGAAGCTCTTTCCAACAGCAGAGGTCTTTAAAGAAGTCATTGCACTGCATTTACCAGCTTGGTCATTAGGCACTAAGATTGCCACAAAATCTGGTTCATACGCTAGGCTCTTGTGCAAAACTCAGAAGTCAACAAAGGTGATATGAACTTATGATAACACTTTTTGTGGGAGTCTTGGGAAGGTACTGAAAGAGGAAGTCTTGCTGATTTGAAAGGAAGAAGTGACTCTTCCGTGCATGAGAAGTAGAGTGAAGGAATTAGTGGTGAATATATTCTGATTTCATTAATCCTGTGATGCCTCCTCAATGCTACATGACTGCTGTCCAGAGGGACTAAAGTGCAAAAAAGTGGAACCAAAATAAACTAGAAGAAAAAAATTATAGGATTTCAGCAGAAAGTTATAGGATATACACTTATTGGAAATGAAGCAGTCTCTTCTTTTTAGGTTTAGGTTCTTTTCTTTATTGATTTGGCTTTTTATGAACCTTATTTTTTGATAGTTTTCTATAAGTATTACTTATATGCAGGAATTAATATTTGAACATATATATCTGTGATAAAGGAGGACGTTTACAGAGAACTGAGGATTAGAAAAAGAAGGGATCTGTGGAAGACAAATCAGAGAGGGTTTTCTCAGGGTGTGAAGCTGAGGAACGGGGAGACCTCCCAGGTGGGAGATGGGGGGAATCAACTCTCAGTATTCTTTTCTTGATATGTTGCCTTTTCTTATCTTTCTATAAAATAGTTTGGATTTTACTGCTTAATATGTTAAAACCTTTAATAAAACTCTATTAAAAGAAAAGGAAATGAAGCAGTGTGACCACCTCAATAACATAACAATCACAAATAATCATGAATGCACCATTAAAAGGATATCTGGAAGGATCCTGTGTGCTATATTGAAACAAGTTCCAGTGCTTGAAGACAAGATTGAGTGATGGCCTCATAGGCATTTTCTGAAGAGTACAGTGCTGGTGAATATCACTGTACTAGACAGATTCTGTTCCAGTCTTGCAGTTCTTAGGCTGTGAAAGAATGGCATCTCTGAAATACACAGGTATTATCTGCACTAAATTTGGTCTCATCTTGGTTGACTGACAATTTTAAAAATATGGCATTTTTGTGAGTAATGTTTTCTCATTGATTCCTTCCTGTTTTAGGTTTGGTCTTTTCAAATGGTCACACCTGGAAGCAGCAGAGACGGTTCAGTGTCATTACTATGCGGAAGCTGGGTCTGGGGAAGAAAGGCATGGAGTTCCAAATACAAGAGGAAGCCCATCGTCTTGTGGAGGTCTTTGCACATGCAAAAGGTATGTGATATTACCGTATTTACATGAATCTAATGCACCCTCCAATCTAATGAACACCTCAGTTTTCAAAACCCTGAAAGCAAAAAAAAAAAAAAAATTGCTGGCAAATGCGAATGCGCCATCAAATCTAATGTGCACCCTAATTTTCACACTGTGATTTGGCCAAAAAAGGTGCACATTACACTCGCGCAAATATGGTAAGTAATGATGCTGATACCTATCCCAGTTTGCAGTGATCTTTATGCACAATCTCTGCACATTTTGGAATGGAATTTTATACATTTTCACTTTTATTCAATTATTTTTAAAATAGCAATTGATCCTAGCAGCTTTCTGAGATATAAATGTAAATGATTTCATTTGCAGGGCAGCCACATGATTTTTCACTCCCCATCACTAATGCAGTGTCCAGCTTGATATGTGTTTTGGCTTTTGGATACCGATTTTCTCTTGAAGATGAAAAATTCCAAAAATTGATCGATGCCGTTGATTGCATGTTGAAAGATTCAAATAGCTTACTTCACATGGTGAGTAGACTTTTGATTCCCAGAGGCCCTAACTCAAATAAGCATTCACAGAACATTATGGCAGTACTCCTAAATCTTAGGGCTCATCTACACTTCCATTTGCCCTTGCAGGTTTCTCCCCCTGGAAAACCTGCTGTTCGCCACTGAATTGGAACAAATGTCAGTTGCTTTTTCTGTGAGTTGATGTTCCAATTCAGTGATAAACAGTGGGTTTTCCTGGGGAAAGTGGCAGGAAAATGAAAAATCATTTGGATCCGTGTCTAGAAAGCAGGACACAAGCAGAAGTGTGCATGAGCCCTCAGAGTACTCAATTCATTGGAGGGAGATGTGAATTTAAATCCGTATTGGATTTGTATGCCTCCTTCCAGCAACTTCTGCAGCCAAGCTGATACCAAGGAAGGAAAGTCCACAACCTCCTGAGGGCGTCCATTCCACTGTCAAACAGCTCTTACTGTCAGAAAGTTCTTCCTGATGTTCAGTCAGAATCTCCTTTCTTGAAAATTGAAGCCATTGATTCAAGTCCTACCCTTTGCAGCAGGGTATAACAACAGCAACAACAACAACAACAACAACAACAACCATTATTTTTTTAGGAAAAAAGGTGCCACAACTCACCATTAACGCCTCCCTTGTTTTCTTATAATGGCAATGGTGCCAAGCTAAGAGGTGCCGGAACTGAGTTCTAGTGAGTTTCAGCTGAACCTGATTATTATTATTATTATAGGAGAAAACAAGCTAGCTCCATTTTCTTTGTGACAGCTACAAATCCACCTGTTACCTCATTCAACCCATGTTTTATGAGTTTTGTCGCAAGAATATCATGGGTGACTTTGTCAAAAGCCTTACTGAAATCAAGATACACTATAACCACAGCATTCCCCTGATTCACCAAGCTTGTAACTCCATCAAAAAGAGAAATGAGATTCATCTGGCATGGCTTACTTTTGAGAAATCCATGCTGGGTCTTAGTAATCACAGCATCCTTTGCTAAGTGCTCACAGACCGACTGCTGAATGAACGAATGCTGCACTAAATTCTTTGCAACAAAAATGAACCAAAATGTGAAAATAATTCACCTTAGCACTGTGTCCTTAAGCTTTGATAGTTCACATAAATTTAATACATATATACTCACTTTTCTCAGTATTCAAAGAGGCTAAAGAGAAACCAGGAATGAACAAAAAAACCCCACAAAGCTTCAGAAGCAATATAATCATAACTTCAACACCTTTTAAAAACTTATTAAAATAATATGTAGCAGAATCAGAACAGACAGGTTAGTTAAGTTCAGAACATGTTTCAGAACGTATTTCATGTTTTTGCTGCCACTATGGGAAATTCTCCAAGAATTCTGCCAGCTGCTCTATTTCTAATGGTGATGGGACCCAGAGCAGCTCAGAGATGGAAGTTGTGGTTCTGAAAGGAGAATACAGCTTTAGGTACCCTGGTCCTGGGTCATGAAGGGCTTAAAAATACGTAACAGTAAGAATGGTGTAAAACGAATGTTATATGAACTGACTGCTGCAGCTGCAGTTTTGTCCTGGTTAAACATCCCAACCTGTCTTCTAGTGCGGTCCTATTTAGTATGCCCAATTCACTGCCAGCTGAAGTGATGTAAAAGCACTCTGCCACCTGCCACCCGGGAGTAACTCTGGGTCAAAGAGCGCCCACAGACATTTAGTCACAGCCTCAATAATAATCCAGGCCATGATGCTGAAGTGCCAGTCCAAATGAGTGTGTTGATAGACCTTGTTACCAAACCATTTTGTGGTAGTGACTTGTGGTTTTTACGTTCTCCTCCTCTGCAGCTGTATGAAGTCTTCCCGTGGCTCATGAAACATTTCCCAGGGCCTCATAGGAAGTTATTTGCCTCAGCAGACTTGATACTTTCATTTGCAAAGGAGGAGTTAGAAAGGCACAAAGAGCAACGGAAGGATGAGCCGCAGGATTTCATTGATTTCTATCTACTTCAGATGGAGAAAGTAAGCATCCACTGTCACCTCCAGGCACTTGGGGCCTGTCCACACTACAATGTGTGTTTGTGTCTGAGTTCCCACTTACTTTGTGTAGTCCAGATGAAGTTACCCTCAAACAGCACCTGTCTTGATTCTTTCCCTCTGTAAATTTGGGTGTACCTAATACAGGGATGCGGGGACGCGGGTGGCGCTGTGGGTAAAAGCCTCAGCGCCTAGGGCTTGCCGATCGAAAGGTCGGTGGTTCGAATCCCCGCGGCGGGGTGCGCTCCCGTTGCTCGGTCCAGCGCCTGCCAACCTAGCAGTTCGAAAGCACCCCCGGGTGCAAGTAGATAAATAGGGACTGCTTACTAGCGGGAAGGTAAACGGCGTTTCCGTGTGTGGCTCTGGCTCGCCAGAGCAGCGATGTCACGCTGGCCACGTGACCCGGAAGTGTCTGCGGACAGCGCTGGCCCCCGGCCTCTTGAGTGAGATGGGCGCACAACCCTAGAGTCTGTCAAGACTGGCCCGTACGGGCAGGGGTACCTTTACCTTTTTTTTTAATACAGGGATAATTCAATATACAGTTGTACCTTGGTTCCCAAAGGGAATCCATTCCGGAAGTCTATTCGACTTCCAAAACGTTTGAAAACCAAGGTGCAGCTTCTGACTGGCTGCAGGAACTTCCAGATTTGCAGCATTTGGGAGCCAAGACATTCAAGTCACAAGGCGTTCGGCAACTAAGGTATGACTGTATTGGGGGAAACTGGACTTTAAATCGCTTCATTTGTGGTAATAGATGATTTATTGTGGTGGTTTTGGTTGGGTGGATCAATAATCACTTTTTGCTGCTCAGAGTGGGCGGGGTATAAATAATATATGATGATGATGATGTCCCTTTCAGCCTCCTTTTCTACTCCAGCCAGCTTGATTTCATTTTAGGGTGGGGTGGGGTGGTCAGACAACAAAGCCGCAGAGCCATTCAGAAGTGTAGAAAGTCCCTGATCTGCTCTGAGATGCCATGTTAGTGGTGTGATCTGATTCAGAAAAAACATTTCCAAGATCACCCCAGTTCACCTTGTAATTTCAGGTACACAAACAGACAATGCAAACCACTATTAAATAAGTTTGGGAGAGCATACCCATAAACTTGCACTGGATTTGTGCAGATGATGCCACTGTTTTTGCACCATCACCCCAATTTTTTTTGGGAAAGCTGACTTGGAAAGGGCTGTGGTTTCTTTTTATTATCTCTTATTCTGCATGTCTTCAGAAGGGTGTTGGAGAGATCCTTTCCTACTCCAGTCTATGACTCTCCAAGTATCTTCCTGCACACTCAGCTGTAAAACATATTATTAGGTGTTGCGATAGGAAGACACCCCCCACCCCAAGGTCAGATAGATTTTGTGTGGCCTGTAAATAATTCCAACATTTCACTTTTCCCATTATCGTCAATAGAGCAAGGATGACCCCAACTCTACCTATGATGAAAGCAACCTGGCAGAGTGTGTTCTTGACCTCTTTATCGCAGGGACAGAGACGACTGCTGCTACTCTGCAATGGGGACTGCTGCTCATGGTGTCTTATCCAGATGTTCAAGGTGAGGGAGAACTTTGCAATGGAAGCAAGCACCTCTCTGAATCCCTGTAGGGAAGAGCTTAGATTTATTGCTTTTTTAGTAGCAGGTTGTGATTCTTCCAAGGTGTCATAATGGGTGGATGACAAATATATGTTCAGAGCACAATTATTTTCTCAAGAGCAACCAGAATGCCCCATGATCAGCTTGGGAGAATCTGTACCCAGTTCTCCCCAGTAAAAATGCAACAAATTATCCACCAAATCACAAAGTTCCCACAGTGGCCAACCAGGTGCGTATGGGAAGCTTGTGAACAGGACCAGATTGGAACAGTATTCTCTGTACTTGTGATTCCCACCAACTGGTATTTACAGACATACCGTATTTTTCGCCCCATAGGGCGCACCGGCCCATAGGACGCACCTAGTTTTTTTGGGGGGGGATAAAGAAAATAATTTTTATTTTCCCTCCAGGCGCAGGGCTGGGGTGGGGGAAGCCCGAGCTTCCCCCGTCCCCAGCCCCCAGAACAGGCGGCTCCCGCCGGGCTCCCACGCCTTGCAGATATCTGCCTGAAGCCCAAACCAGGTCGGGGAACAGCGGGAAGGCGGCGCTCCACCTCCCCGCTGTCCCCTGAGCTTGTGGGGCTGGCGGCAGGGAGAAGCGCACTTCTCCCCACCACCAGCCTCCAAACCAGGTCGGGGAACCGAAGCCCGGGGCGCACTGTGCAGCGCGCCCCAGGCTTTGAGATGCAGGCTGCTATCCGCAAGCCTAGGGAGCCCAACGGGAACTCCCGCGGGCTCCCAAGGCTTGCGGAGAGCTTCCTGAAGCCTGGCGAGTGGGAGGGGTCGGTGCGCACCGACCCCTCTCGCTCTCCAGGCTTCAGCTAAAGCCTGCATTCGCCCCATAGGACGCACACACATTTCCCCTTCATTTTTGGAGGGGAAAAAGTGTGTCCTATAGGGCGAAAAATACGATACTACTTTTTACACTGGAGGGATGAGGGAGAACATATCCATCATGTTTATCAGTCATTGATAGCCTTATCCTCTAAAAAATCAAATCCGATTCTAAAGCCATTCAAGTGAGTGGGCATCACATCTTGTGGGAATAAATTCCAGAATTTAACTCTGTGCTATAGGAAGAAGACCTGGGACGTGGGTGGCACTGTGGGTTAAACCACAGAACCTAGGACTTGCTGTTCAGAAGGTCGGCGGTTCGAATCCCCGCAACGGGGTGAGCTCCCGTTGCTCGGTCCCTGCTCATGTCAACCCAGCAGTTCAAAAGCACGTCAAAGTGCAAGTAGATAAATAGGTACCGCTCCAGCGGAAAGGTAAACCGTGTTTCCATGCGCTGCTCTGGTTCGCCAGAAGCAGCTTAGTCATGCTGGCCACATGACCCGGAAGCTGTACGCCAGCTCCCTCGGCCAATAAAGCGAGATGAGCGCCGCAACCCCAGAGTCGGCCACGACTGGACCTAATGGTCAAGGGTCCCTTTACCTTATATGAAGAAGTACTTTCCTTACCCTGTCCTGAATCTTCCAACGGCAGCCACAGGTATTTGCCTTGGGGTATGGCTGAGCATAGCACAGTGTGGGTCACCACTGTGGCCAAGCAACCACTTTGCCAGGAGGAAGACGGGGGAAATGGGCAGCCATAGATTTGTGCTAACTAGCCTCCATGCACTGGCTGCAATCCTGTTCTGTGTGGGAGAGAAGTCAGGCACTAAGTTTCAGTAAGGGCAGAACTGAGTGGGTGAAAGAAACATTTGATCTGGCTCCTGGTGAAATAGTCTTCCCAGAGAGTAAGGAACTCCCCTCTGAATTTGTGGAAACATGAGAAACTGGCTGGTGCTGAGTCAGGGCCAGGGTCCATCCAGCTCAGTATTGCCTACACTGGCTGCCATCAGCTCTAATGGGATTTCAGGGAAGGAACATTCCCAGCCCTACCTGGAGATTCTGGGAATTGAATCACGGACCTTCTGCACGCAAAGCAGATGTTCTACCACAGAGCAATAGACCTGTTCCACACGCAGCTGCATTCACGGTATTTAATTGTTAACTTCTTATTTTCAGGGTGCTGCCAGCATATACCAATGAGCCTCACTTAATATACCAGGGTCTTTTCACCCCACCCTACACAGCTTGATTGTCAGAAGTTTCTCAGATTTAAACCGGGGTATTTTAAAATAAAGCTTCATTTCCCACTTTTTCCTGCAGATAAAGTCTACAAGGAGATGGAAGATGTTTTAGGTTCCTCCCTTCCCATTTGCTATGAAGATCGAAAGAAACTGCCTTACACCAACGCGGTGGTGCATGAGATTTTGCGTGCAAAATATCCCTTATTAATTGGGATTCCCAGGCGATGTGCAAAGGATATGGAAATGCATGGTTTTCACATTCCAAAGGTACAGGATATAGAGAAGGCAGCAGTTGTATATTTTGAGAGCAAAGAGCACCTGATAGTGGCACTTTAAATGCACACATGTAGCACAAAATCTGAGGGAGAAGGATCTCCCCTCTCTCTCGAAAAAAATATCTGAAGATTAATAACCTGAAAGTTAAAAAATTCTGTTATGACAAATACAAGGAACAGACTATTGCATAAGTGATCTGGAATGAGAGGATGAAACCCAAACACATAACAAGTTTTATCAAGATACATATAATCATAGAATTGTAGAGTTGGAAGGGACGCTGAGGGTCATCTAGTCCAGCTCCTTGCAATACAGGAATCTCAACTACAACATCCATAACAGATGGTCATCTAACCTCCAAAGGCATAAAAACTTGCAAGGAAAGTATCCAGTACAAGAATCCCTGGACCTGCTTTCCTGTAATTTGGCAGGCTTTTTCCACCTGTGAGGGATTAGCATGCATGCCAATCTCATTCACTTCTGTCAAAAGGGAAAGAAAAGTTATATAATTCCCAACAACAAATTGAAGCAGAAGGACAGCAGATTCAAACACGCCCTGTGTTGAACTCAGCAGCCTCTGATGTGCCTTGGGCTGACACACACTATATTCTGATGCACCAAACCAGAATTAGAATTAAATATTGTGATTATTGTACACCATAAATAAAGACTGTATGTGAGACATGTGTCAGGATTGAATACTGGGGCAGTGAATGGCAAAACTGTTTTGTGCTGGTCCAGATGCATTCTGAGCCAACTGTTTCTTCTTTTCAGAGGACAGTTGTTGTTACAGATCTGAATTCTGTTCTTGTCGATCCCACACGATGGGAAACACCTGAAGAGTTCAACCCACACCATTTTTTGGACACGGATGGAAATTTTAGGTCTAGAGAAGAATACCTGCCATTTGGAGCAGGTAAACGTAGAAATAATCATGGTCACATTTAGTAGCTTGTTTCAAACAAGGGAATGGTCAAAGGTGATTAAACAGAGGGAGGGCCATGAATGGATCCCCTGTGGTTTAAAAATCAGGTTGGGATGATAGTGTTGAGAGAGCAATGAATTTAACATTCTTCTTCCAAACCATTTTCCAATCTGAATTCTCCCTCCATAGAGTAGGGGTATCTCTCCAGATGTTGTTGGGCTACAACGTCCATCATCCATGACTCTTGCCCATGCTGGCTGGAGCTGATAGGAGTTGTAGCGGCACTTGGAGGGTAACACATTGGCTATCACTGCTTTGGAGCAAACAGCTTCTCTGGAAAAGCAATTTAGTTTAGGGTTTAAGAGGGGAAGGGTTAAAATCTTCACTCTCCTAGAATTAAAGCCCCAATCAGAATTGGGGGTTCCAGTGACTCTCTCTCTCTCTCTCTCTCTACATATATATATGCATTTATCTATTGCATTTATATTTATCTATTTATCTATTGCAATTTATCTATTGCATTTATAGATAAATGTATATGCATTTATCTATTGCAGTTTTCTTCCTTTTTTATTTACAAAATTATATACTGAAAGTTTCATAAAATTCCAAAAATTATTAACATAAAATGATGAATTAGTTATAAACTGTAACTCTGTTGTAAATTGCATCCACTTCCATGTACAAAATATTTTCCTCTCTATGGCTACTGCAGAAGGTGAGCCCAGAACAACCAGCTGCTCCAGCCTCTTCTCTCTCTCTTTCTATCTCTCTCTCTATTTCTTCTTTTTGTTGTAAGGAGCATCGCACCCCATAGTTGCTTTTGACTGGATCTCCATCACTGTGGCAGCTGCCTCTATTGGCCACCAGGTGTCTCCTCTGAGATGCTGGGGATTCACACACAGGCAATGTGTGCACTTTGATTATTCCTTCCCTTAAGCCAGGGGTCAGCAAGGTTTACCAGCCATGAGCCGGATCACTCCCACGGAGATCATCTGTGGGCCGGACTGGTGCAGCGCAACACCGGAAATCGCGTCTGCGCATGCCGAGATGCCCAAAATCGCACCTGCGCAGAAGCAATTTTCAGCATCTGGACATGCGCAGATGCGATTTCCAGTATCTGTACGTGCACAGACACAATTTCCGGTGCCTCTCGGCAAGTCCCCGGACCACGCTGCTGCGGTTTAGTGCAGTGCGCAGGGGACTTGTTGAGTGGGCGGCTTGGTTCAGGGGCGGCTCGTGGGATGGTAAAATGGTCTTCGTGGGCTGCATCTGGCCCATGGGCCACACATTGCTGACCCCTGCATTAAGCTCTTCTGGCAGTAGTTAGACCTGCTTTCCCAAAGTACTACATATAGTGATATAACTATGACCTGTATGCTCCATATCCAAATGCTCATGCTGCTTTCAAGCTTAGTCTTCCTTTGGGAACTGCAGCCACTCATGGTCAGCTTCCAGTATTTCCTGGAGCAAAGCCAGGACCCTCAGGATGTCAACACAGAGGATTAAAGGGAGATACTTTGGGAGTAGCTGTTTTCCAGCTTTTTGTTGCTGTTGTTGTGGCTAAAACTACTGGCTGAGCAAACCAGATGAACTGGAGAATAGATGGAGTTGGTTATGACTCACTTGCTGCTTCCCCCTTCTTTCCTCTGCAGGGGCTCGAGCCTGTGTGGGAGAGCAGATGGCCAAGATGGAGATATTCCTCTTCCTAACCACCCTGTTGAGGGCATTCCGCTTCCAGCTGCCAGAAGGAGTGAAAGAACTCAATAACAAGCCTGTTTTGGGGCTGACATTGCACCCCCACCCTCACAAACTCTGTGCTATTCCCCGCTGCAGTGCATGAGGAAGCATATAAAAATAATTACCGTGGTTTATTTATTTATTGCCATAAATTTCTCCATTATTATTATTTTTCACTTTGACTGACATTCTGTCCTTGGCTTTCTCAGTTCTACTATCATTGGACCAATTAAAATATCCCTCATTTGTTGCAGGGGCAGAGTTGGTAATCTTTGATAATATGGCACTCTGAGCTAGGCCAAAATTTGGCACCCCCAAACAGATATTCTCAATTATGTGCCTTCCCAATTTTTTGCCCCCTCGGCTCAGTGCCCTGTGGGGGGGAACCTCCCATGCCCTTTGCAGTTTCTTTGCTCAGGACTGAATTCTATATCTGAACTTAGGTATTTTTACCCTATTCCATTCAAAGGTGAAAAGGAGGCTCATTTGTTGAATCTGCTCTTTTTTAGCTTATGGAGTCATTGTATTTTCTTTGTTAAGTGCTGAATTGGACATTTAAAAGGGAGAATTGCATGCTGAGATGGGTCAGTGGTGGAGTTTTGTGCTGTGTTGACATACTAACCTATTTGTAGCACAAAAATGTAGCATTTTTGGATCCAGAATCATTCATTCTTGTCCTCAACATACTGCTTTCATTGTAGACTGATTCTAGAACCTGCCATCTACAAGCCTAGGGATGGCTACTTGATATGTAAAAACCCTCCTCATTATTATGTTTTCTACGCCTTTTCCACCGTGCGCATGCCCCAGATGAATCAAGAAGGAAATGGTGGTTGTGATCATGCTATACATCCAGCCCACAATGCCATTGGTCAGGTGTAGATACTTTCTGTGCCACTATTGGGATGGTCTATATCGGTTTTCAAATGGACGCACTGTAGGATAACTCTAGGTAGGGCTAGGAAAGATTCCCTCTTTGAAAGCTGGAGACATGCTGGCAGTTGGTGCTGACAATACTGAGTTGAATAGATGAATGGTAAGGTAGCCTTCTATGTTGCTGTCTCTGCCCACAACAAAACCCCACCTTTTCAAAAGGCAGAATAATAGTGCTAAAGGCATCAACAACTGTGCAGGTTGTGCTACTTTTCTGTTTCGGGTAGGGGTAGTTTATGACGTCTGAGAAGATGGAAGAACTGAGGGGGAAATAAAGTTCACCATGATTGGGTGCTGGCATTGTGTGGGTGCCCTCTAAAAAACATTCACACAATGCACCCACACAATCATGGTGAACCTTCCATTTTCAGCTGTGAATGGTTTCTTCCCTGCCACAAACGTGTGTTTGTGCAGTGTTGGGGATAGGAACCATGTTTATTTATTTATTTTACTAAATGCTTCTGATTAAGCATCTCAAAGTGATTTCACAGTACAGTAAAAGCCATATGCAAAACAACTGCATTTGTGAAAAGAGTTAATACCATTGGATATATAAAAACAATTTCAGCTAAATTCAGATACTGACTGCGATAAAAGTAATCACTTAGAAGGCATGTTTGAAGAGAAAATTCTTCAACAGGTGCCAAAAATACAATAAAGACAGTGTCTGTTTACTTAAAAGTACGGTAAACCTTGCAATGATACAAGTGTACAGAGAGATCCACTAGCACTTTACCATGCTAGCTCACCATGCTATACTGAACCTTACAGCATGTAATCTTCAGCTTCTCTGCTGATAACCTTGCACTGAGCAAAACCTCTTCTCAGTGGCTACTTCACACTCCTGCCAATGCTGCTGAATGCAGTCTTGGCCTTATAGCTGCCTCTGTACATACATACATCCCTTAAAGAAAGGGAGGGTGGATGAGTCTATTTACAGACTCAGTAAATAAAGTAGTGTGTAGCTACTGACTGTCTATTTCTTCTGCAGTGGGATGCCAGAAGACGAGTGTGCTCCTCTCAGGAGGGAGGGGTCGCTTATTACCGGTCTCTCTGAACTGAGGGCAATTTACAGCCAGAGGGTGACCACCGGAGAGACACCTCGGTGTCTTGGGAAGGTGGCAGCCTTCCCGGGCATTTTTCCAACAAATGGTAGCAGAGGATGGTTACGTACGATGGTTATGTCCGATGGTTGCCGATGGTCGATGGGTTCTAAGCCACCCAGTGCAGCTGGCATGCTAGCTCTAAACAGAATCCAGACACAGAGGATGGGCTGCTCAAGACATAGGCCAAACACTTAGTGCAATTTCACCCATTTTTTTCAAATTACACCAACAGTCTCTTCTATACTAAGGGAATTGCATGATTTTGGAAGGAACTTCGAAAGGGACATTTTAAAGCTTTAACTGCCTATATTTCCACACTTTGCTGCATGTTTTGTAATTCTTTATCTCTACTGGGGCTCTCTCATTAAAGAGTACTTGCCCCAAACCTGGTTCTAGGCATCGAGGGAATCCTTCTATTTTACTCTTGCCAGAGATAGACGCTAAAGGAGAAGATAATATTTGGATAGTGCTGGCTGTGTAACTAAAACCCATTTCAGGGTGCCAGCTACAGGAGGTAATGGATCAGGCTTCAGGTGTAAATGAAGCCTCATCCTAGACAGTAACATCAGGTGTAAAGAAAGAAACCAGCATTACACCCCAGTCTTTTTATTCATGAGCTTAAAGGTTGATTTCCTGAGGAAACTTATTTTTTCTTGCTGCAAGAAAGTTGAGCACAAACATGCTTTCATTCCAAATGGCAGCAATTACCTGCAGGGGTCAGTGTTGTTGTTGTTGTTGGAGTGTGCCTTTGTGATTTTCATATTATAAGAACCTGCAGTTAAATTGGAGTGCAGAGTAGCTGATTTTCATTTGAGTATATCTCAACAGGTGGGATTTGGAGAAGGCAAGAGTAAGATAGACCACTATATGATGCTCCAACATCTCAAGGAGAAATACTCATCATGGAGCGTGGTATCACTATACGTCGCCTTTATTGATCTAAAGGGGGCCTTTGATTCCATCTCTAGATCTAATCTCTGGCACAAGTTAGAGGCCACAAACATTGATTGAAGGCTTTTATCGACCTGGTTAAAAGCCTAAGCAGACAAAAGCTCCACTCTTCCAAGCTACACCATCATTGGATTTCAGTTCTGCTGTATGCAGATGCTGGTGCAATTTTATCAAGGATTCCAGCCCTAGAACAATATTGTAATGAAGATTCCCTTACAATAAATCACCAGAAAAAACCCCAAAGATAAAGGCATTTGGTAAACAAGATTAGAGCATGGACCACTGGACAGTGGCGGAGGAAGCCTCTCGGGTACCTGGGGCTGGACGAACCGCCCATAGGGATGAATGGGATGGGGCGAGCGGCACCCATAGGGATGGACAGGATGGGGGCGCCCATTCCCACCCCTCCATTGTTTGCTTGCCTTCCTCCTTCCCATCATCTCCCCTGCCTGCCTTCTCCAGCCAGGAGTGTGGGGTAATGGTGGGGCGAACTGCGCAGGGGGGTGGCCAGTGCGATCCGCTGTGCTCTGAGGCATCAGCATTGGGGCGAGCTGCCCAGGGGGTGGTGTGATCCGCTGCGCGCTGCGGTGCCGGGGCGAGCCGTTGTGTGCTGTGGCGTTGGCAGCTCAAGCCTTTTTGCCACCCTCCTCAAGGATGGCACCCGGGGCGGAGTGCCCCCACTGCCTCCCTTCCTACGCCCCTGCCATTGGAGGCCATAAAATTGAAGATGTGCTGACCTTTAATATCTAGGTGTAATTTTCCAGGCCTCTGGCTCAAGGAAAGCCCATAACATTCAAGTAACCAACAATGGTAATAAATAAATAAATCTGTGCATAACATCCTCAAATTTCTCCAGACTAGGGGTGGCCACTACACTCACGCAGCTCCAAAACTATACCAGGCTAAAGTTTTGGCCCAACTGTTATATGGTACCATTTTAGGACCACCACCTTCCCTTTTCTTCTGTTTAGAGCAAGTTCATTCATTATTCCTAAGAATGGTGGTACAAGTCCCTAGAAGTGTATCAGATGCCATGTTATGACTGGAGATTGCGTTGGTTAGAGTGGAAGCTAAGGTGTGCTTCCATAAACTACTGGCTGAAGATCTGCTATTTCCCACAAGGTGTCCCCCATCCTATATTTATGCATCTGGTTCTTCCTGCTTAAGTGCAGAACCTTACATTTGTCCCTATTGAAATTCATTTTGTTAGCTTGTGCCCAGTTCTCCAATCTGTTACGGTCATTTTGAATTCTGATTCTGTCTTCTCCCAGCCCTCCCTGTTTGGTGTCATCTGCAGATTTGATGAGCATCTCATCAATTGCTTCATTCAAGTCATTTTAAAACAACAATGGGCCCAGGACAGAACTGTGCAGCACCCCACTTGTCACTTTTCCCCAGGATTATGAGGAACCATTAATGACTACTCTTTGGGTTCCATCAGTCAACCAGCTACAAATCCACCTAACAATTACCTAGTTCAACCAACATTTTACCCAGCTTCCTTGCGAGAATATCATGGGGGTCTTTGTCAAAAGCCTTACTGAAATAAAAATACACAATATTCACATCATTCACCTGACCCACCAAGCTTATAACTCCATCAAATAGAAAGGAGATTCATCTGACATGACTTACTTTTGAGAAACCCATGCTGGGTCTTAGTAATCATAGATTCTTTTCTAAGTGCTCACAGACCAACTGTTGAATTATCTGTTCTAGGACCTTCTCTGGTATCAATGTCAAGCTCACTGGTTGGTAGTTACCTGGGTATTCCTTTTTGCTCACCTCCAGTCTGTAGGAACCTCACCTGTTCTTCTGCTTTGCACATAGCTGAAGAAAGCTTTTAAAATTATTTTTAACCTCTCTTGCAAGACTCAACTCATTCTGAGTATTAGCTTGCCTGACATTCGCCCTGCATCTGTTAGCTACCTGTTTATGCTCCTCCTTTGTGGTTTCCCATTTTTTCCATTTCTTATATAGGCAATGATCATTGCACATGTGCCTTACCACAACCTGGAAGTAGCAGTAAAAGGGGGTGGGGTGGGTGTAACGGGGTGGGCTTATTTCAGATTTTAATATTGCACAGCTTGAATTGACTGGATGGATAAAAACTGTCTAGACCAATCTGTTTGATTCAAAACTTTAATTGTGGAACAAAAAGCAGTAAATGAATCAACCAAATAATTCCATATAATATCTTGTGCTGTCCAGCACAGGCTCAGCATCTTAGAAATAAAAGATAATTCCAAACAGACCTAAAAGCTGAGGCCTCTCTCTTCCTACAGCTTCCAGTTTGCCTGAGGCTGTGCATCTTACTCTCACAGAGCATAAGAACGACTCAGCCACCACCTTTCCAAGGTGTCGAAGTTGTAATTCAATGCCTCTTATGTGATCTAAGGTTAAACACTCATGCGTTAGGTAGCAGAGGACAAGAACAATAGTTAATGATAAACTTATCTAGGCGCTCAGAGAGAGCTTCTTTCTAGCTTAGTACACTCAAGTGGAATTTCCCCATTTCAGTGTCAATTAAATTATTATACTTAGCAGGGCTTACATGCATTCCACTGTTGCACATGATGACCCAGAACACAACTCCTGTGCAAATCGAGGGTTGCCTGTACACGCCCTTCTTAAATTTCAGCTGATCTGTAAGCTCCTTATGCAGCCAAACCAGTTTCTTTAGATGCCTCCCACTTTTCTTTTTTGCTGGAATTGTCTGCATTTGGGCCTTCAATATTTCACCTTTAGGAAACTCCCATCCATCTTGGACTCCTGTCTCTTTGAGTATTTCTGCCCATGGGATCTCACTCAGTAGTTCCTCAAACTGGAGGCTTCTTCCCCATGAAATCCCTTAGTGCATATATGATAATAATAAAAAGAGCTTATAACAAGTTTTTTAGATTGTGCAGTATTGAGCCCCTGTTCTCAAGCAGATCATAGCAAATTATCCAGAGTAATAAAACATAAAAGAATCTGCCCCACTCCACTTAATTCCAGTCAACAACAGGCATTGTCCTTTCACGTTGTTTAAATTCCAAAAAATACCTTCATTGTCCTGATCCTCTGCACAACAGCTGATTTGTTTGTAGCATCCCTTCCATATCTTGCCCAGAGAGTATTTTAAATACTCAGGTGTAGCTACAAACCACACAATTAAAGTAGCACCTGAGCAACCAACCAAGGGAAAGCCACAGAATTCGAGAACTGCAGAGTTGAACGGGATCTACTCCAGCTTCCTGTAATGCATGTTGGATGAAGAGAACAAGAACGATGTAGAAATTTACAGCAAGATATAAGACACTGGAAGTATATACATTTTTTACAATATATGCTTTACGATGAACTGCTGCGGGGAACAGCACAGAGTTTATAAGGACGGGGATGCATTGTCAACGCTGTTACAGGCTCTTTGTTGAGTTTCTTCGCTTCTGGTATGTGGAAGCTGAATGCCCTCAGCAGGCTGGTGAAAAAGATGAACAGCTCAATTCTTGCCATCTGCTCCCCAATACATGCACGGGCTCCTGAAGAGGAAATGAGGAGAAAGTGAGAAGTGAGCAAAACATTTCCCACCAAATCCAACTCTCAGCAACTAGTTTAAAATCTCAGTAAGGTATCTGGGTGGGCCAAGTTTCCTACCTACCACCAAAAGTGGTCTCATGGAAAACCCCACTGCTATAAACCCAATTTCAGCAGTAACTCTAATTTTAACTGTCATATGGTTCAAGTGCCACCAATAACTTTCACCAAATGTAGACAGTTGCAGAAGTATAGCTATCCACACCTTCTGCATCCTGAAAACAAATTCAGTAATACTATACATAATATTTTGGAAGAGCATAAGATTCCCCCCTATTTCTCATGAGGCTAATTCAACTTCAGGTATTCTTCCTTAGAGACAACCAAGTAAGATATAGGGATACTCTGTCATAGAAGAACTTGGTTTGGGAAAGATGGCATTAAAAATGGGATCATTGTAGTAAGTTCTGCCTCCTGGAATTGGCACAGTTTCCTTTTAAATTATTATTATTAAAAAAGACATAGGCTCTCCACTGTTGATCTTCTTCTTAGTCTGTTCTCGCTCAAATATATAAAATCATAGAATCATTGAATTCTAGAGTTGGAAGGGACCCTGAGGATCCTCTCGTCCAACCCCCTACAATGCAGAAATATGCAGCTGACCCATACAGGGACCAAACCTGCAACCTTGGTGTTATCAGCACCACACTCTAATCAACTGAGCTATAAGTTTGGGGGCAGAAGGATCCCCTAAACTTTGGATCATTGTAGTAAGCTCTGCCTCATGGAGAGCCTGATCCTCCTCGTAATTTCTAGGTTTAGTAAATGTTAGAATTTAATCAATACTTGGAGTGTTAAGAGAAGGTTCCAGACGCTGAATATAGCAATGTCAAAAATACTGGTCAAACCAGTTTTTTTGTCCTAAGAGATCCCCTGGCAGAAGAGCCATCCTGTAGACCTTTGCATCGAGAAACACCTTTAAGACAAGACCTTTAAGCTGTGCACCAATCATCTCTATGGAGCAGGCATAAGCTATAGATGGGGACTGCTCTTTCTGCTGTTTGCTTAAATTGAATGGGAAAGTGCTGACAGCCTCTTCAGAAACCTCCCATCTTCTACCAGAGCTGGAGCTTGAGGTCCTGTGACTATTCTCAGGCTTTGCTGGGAGGTTGATGATGAAAGTCTGATGGCTCAGTGTGACACACTCCATCAATTGACTCACTAACCAGGAAAAAGAAGACAACGAAATCACCTGTCCCAGATATATGCAGGGAGAAGAGGCAGACACCTGTTCATCTCTTTCCGGCTGCTGAAAAATAGCATTAACAGTCTTCTTGGATTATAGCCTAGATTCAGCAGCTAATTATTTGCATTCTCCCCAGAGTTTTGACAGCTGACAGTAATGCTTTAAAAGTGTCATGTATGCTAAACAATTTATTTGAAGCCATGCTCTATGACTTTTCTTTACATGGCTTGCCACTGTTCTCAAGTTTCAAGGCGGTCTTTGAGCATCTTACTGTTTTCAGTAGGTTTCAAAACATGCTGTCTAGAGTTACCCTTAATTTATAGATAGCTTGCCAGTTAACTGGCAACAGAGGTTGCTTAGAAGTATGTGACTCAACCCTTTCCCCCCATGTTTTCCTTGGGTTGAGAAGGCTACTGTGACCTGTTTCAGAGTCTCTACGTACTTGCAGGTAAAGGGACCCCTGACTGTTAGGTCCAGTCGTGACCGACTCTGCGGTTGCGGCGCTCATCTCGCTTTACTGGCCAAGGGAGACTGCGTGTGTCCACAGACAGCTTCTGGGTCATGTGGCCAGCATGACTAAGCTGCTTCTGGTGAACCAGAGCAGCACACAGAAACGCTGTTTACCTTACCGCCAGAGCGGTACCTATTTATCTACTTGCACTTTGATGTGCTTTCTAACTGCTAGGTTGGCAGGATCTGGGACTGAGCAATGGGAGCTCACTCTGTCACGGGGATTTGAACCGCCAACCTTCTGATCGGCAAACCCTAGGCTCTGTGGTTTAGACCACAGCGCCACCCGCAACCCACGTACTTGCAGAAGAAGACACAAATTTGGATTAAGTATGCATACACTTTATTCCATATGAAAAGTTGTATTCTCTTCTGCAGGTGGGGTGGACAGAGGACTCAGTAATAAGGAATGAGTCACACACAGATAATAAAAGACAAATGCCAGCAAGTGAAGCTTTCCCATATTTGTAAATATATACTAGAAAAAGATGAACCTATTGAATATCTGCCTGTCACACAGCAGTTATTTATTCTTTCTGCCTGCCCTGAGATCTCTGCTCTTTCCAATACCCAACCACATTCACTCATTGGCTAAAAGCACTGCAATGTGGGAGTAGGATCGTATCTCACAGAGCAATTGTTTTAACTGCTGCTTGTAGTGTTTGCTTCATAGCATCCATTCTATGAAATGAAAGTTCATTTCTGTTGGCTGTGTGCCTGGTACCGCAATGCCACCTATATTTTGTACCTTATCACACCTTCCTGATCAAAGCTTGACCTCATTGAAGCAACCCGGTAAACATGGCTATGAATCACTTAATCATTTACCTGCTCCGAATGCCAGAAATTCTTCTCTAGCCACAAAATTTCCATCCTTGTCCAAAAAATTATTTGGATTGAACTCTCTAGGATTCTCCCATTGTTTCGGATCATAAAGAACAGAGCGCAGATCTGGAATAACAAAGGTTCCCTGCAAGGAAGAAACAAATGACTCAACCTATATCCAGGCAGGGCATTATCTCGCAAACGGGTTGTTGGGACTCAATTTTTCTGCATACTCAGTTGGCACAGGCTCATTGCTATTCTGCTGCTTGCTGCCTACACCACTGGATGGAGGCTGGCAGAAAATATCCACGCTATGTATTTTTCTCCCTCCCTCCCCCATCCCCAAGTAGCTTACAAAATTAAACCTCAGTTTTCTTGTTCATTTTTCTCTTTAAAAAAATATTTTTGCACAATTCTGATTTAACAGAATTGCACCTGGAGGCATGGCTGTGTTATTGTTTTGTTTGCTATTACGTTATTTTATTTTTGTGTTTTTACACTGTAAACTGCTGTGATCCTTGGATGGAGGATGGTGTATAAATTTAATAAATAAACAATACATCTCTTAATATATAAATCAACTTCACCAGGCTCATGTTATCTTCAGTCCACATAATATATAGAGAAGAGATGTGGAGAGAATGTGCACAGTGGACCCAAATGGCTATGAAACAGAGAAAGCAGAGTCTGTACCTTGGGAATGGGATAACCAAGTATGTTTACATCCTTCACACTCTGCCTAGGTGGCCCAAAAAGCAATATATATTTAGCACGCTGGATCTCATGAATCACTGCATTGGTATAAGGTAGTTTCTTACGATCTTGATAGGAGATTGAGTGAGAGGAACCAAAAACATCTTCCATCTCCTTGTAGACTTTATCTGAGGGAAAAGAATATTTACTTACTTGTTCTTACATAACTCCACAAACTCCAAAGAGAACTTCATATAAAGCTTTCTAACCATCTTCATTCAGAGCTAAACAACAGACTATTGGAATGTGAGTAATATTTCTACATGTGCTTTGATTCTCTTCAATAAATCTATGTATGAGAGCTTTGTGGAGTTTTGTTGAATAATATCCAGATTGAGAGAGAAGTCTCAGGATGGAATAGTAAGAACGAGTGAGTTCACCCTTCTTTCTAGGCTCGAAGAATTAGACTGAAACTAGATTGCAAAGGAGGAAGGGAGGTTTCTTCCTGCTCTGAGCAGAGCCAATAGAAGGGAAGTATTTTCCAGATTGAGAGAGAAGTCTCAGGACGGAATACAGACCATTTCATTCCTGGATCAGGATGGGCTGTTGCTGATCTCTTACCAGGCTCAGACTTTGGTAATATGGCGCCCTAAACAAGGACAAATTCCGGTGCCCGCTTCCCTCTTGCTTTCTGTTCTGTGCATGTTGTCAAGTGCTCTGTGTCACAGTTTCTCCACCCTTGCCTTGGCACCCTGTGCGGGGAACTGCCCGCACTGCCCTCAATCCGGCATTGCTCTTACCTTGGACTTCTGGATGAATTGCAATAAGGAGCATTGCCCATTTCAGAGTAGAAGCAGTTGTCTCTGTCCCTGCACCAAAAAAATCCAGAATACACTCAACCAGATTATCTTCATCATATGTAGTATAAGGATCATTCTGGGTCTGTTAAGGATAATAATAAACATTAAATTTATTTTACAACAGACTTAAAGCATTTCACTTTTTGGTGTTCATGAAAATTCTTCAGTATTTTTGTGCAATTTTCTCTTAATGTACATATTTTTGTATTCAATTCTGCCTAACCCAGTATACACAGCTTGGAAGCAATTTCTTCTAATATAAAGCAATTTTGTGTGTTGTTTTAACTAAGATTTGCACATATTTGCCTACTTTAGCTAAGGGTATGCATTTTTGTAAAGCGTGTTCTCACTAAAGGAGAGCACGTGTTGCGGATGGGGCCAGGCAAAGCACCCCGTAGTTGCCAGGCAGGATAGATTGAAGGGGCCTGGCTTGGATTGGTGGTTGGTGTTGCTGGGGTAAATTTGATGTTGCCAATTTGGGGGTGGGAACAGAGGTTATTTAAACAAGGTTCACAGCAAGCTGCTTTCTCTTTCGCTGTGGGCACCGGATCACCCGCCCGCCCTCCCTTGTTTGGGCTTGTGCTTTGACCTTGCTATGCCTGTCATGGGGTTGTCCGCCTTGGTGCAGGGGCCTGGTAGGAATTTTTCCATTTGGCTGATTAGTGTGTGCCATTTGGTTTTTGCCTACTGCGTAGCAAATCGTCACAACTTGTAAGGTTGGCGGTTAGGCATTGGTTTAAATTGGTTGGTGGAGGGGTATGGATTGGCTGTGCCTGCCCCTCCAATGCTGCTGCTGCACAGGAATTCCATTAAAGGAATTCAGGGGCTTACCATCCTTTCGTCCAAACCCCTGGAATTGGGTTTGGGCCACGTAAGCCCCTGGGAGCATGCGGAGAGAAGCTGAGGGTCTTTGCCGCAGCTCCAGTTATCCCTGATCTTGTTCCTCCACACTGGATTTCGCTGGAATCCGGGAGTCAGTGCTGTCCCCCAAGGCGGGGGGGGGGGGACAGAAAGTCATAACCAATGCCTAAGCAACCACTCACAATTTGTATGTTTAATAAAGTTGTGGCCAAAATTATGCCAAAAACCTTAAACAAAAATTTATGAGTGATGTGTGAGTTATTGGGGTAGGGGTGTTTTGGGGGACCTCAGCACGCAATGAGCTGAATTCACATACAATGAGGATATTGTACCTACTTTCTCAAGCTGAAGTAGATAGAAATCAATGTAGTCCTGTGGCTCAGTCAGGGAATGTTGCTCCCTATGTTTCTCTATCTCCTTCTGTACAATGGAAATTGCCTCATCATAGGCAGAAAATATCTTTTTATGAGTTCCTGGGAGATATTGCATGAGCCATGGGAACATTTCATAAAGCTAAAGGGAAGCAAAATCCAAATGATTATTTGTAACTTGAAAAGAATAGTACTAAATATCAGAGGTACTATCTTCCCATGACTGCAAAAAGAACAACTTATGCAAAATACTGGGGAAGAGAAAAGAAATGTCACAAAAGATCTGAGGACCTTGCAAAACGGAAGAATATTCCCACCCACTCCCCGTCTTTAACCCTGAACAGGCATTTAAAGCCAGGCCTTCTCCATGTATGCCCAACTCTCTATCCATGACCAAAATGATTTTCTGAGTGCTACTGGCCACGGGTTAGGGTGTTGGGGAGATCTGTCTGGCTCAATAAGGAAGGGGGGGGGGAGAACTCACAGCATGGAAAAAGCTGCCTCCAAATTGTAAGCTCATTTCAAGTATCTCCAGCAGTCTCTTAAAGTTTTCATCCTCTGTAGATAACTGGTTTCCAAATGTCAAAGCACATATTACACTAGAGATTGACTTAGTGATTGGTACCGATGGATCAAATGGCTGTCCTGCAAAAGAAGTCATTTACTGTCATATTACTGTCAAGCTGATAAATTTCACATTAGGGTTGGAAGGATACTGGAATCTCCAGCAGTCATTTGTTCCAGAAGAAAACAAGCAAAATGCATGACATTCCACCCCAACATAGATAGATCAAATAAAGGTTTCGGCAGACTGGAATGTTCCAGCATTATCACCCTTGTATCACATACCCTTTGAATTTGCAAAGACCTCCACAAGACGATGGGCTGCCTCTTCTATTTGGTGCTCCATGCCTTTCTTCCCCAGCCCCAGCTTCCGCATAGTAGCTATACCAAACCGCCTCTGCTGCCTCCACGTGTGACCATTTGAAAATACAATTCCTGAAGCCATCAAGAAACGACAAATTATTGGTAACAAATACTCATGCCCAAAAGATTGTTGGGTTGGTTGCCAGCTTAAAAGGTAAAGGTAAAGGGACCCCTGACCGTTAGGTCCAGTCGTGACCGACTCTGGGGTTGCGGCGCTCATCTCGCTTTATTGGCCGAGGGAGCCGGCGTACAGCTTCCGGGTCATGTGGCCAGCCTGACTAAGCCGCTTCTGGCAAACCAGAGCAGCGCACGGAAACACCGTTTATCTTCCCACCGGAGCGGTATCTATTTATCTACCTGCACTTTGATGTGCTTTCGAACTGCTAGGTTGGCAGGAGCAGGGACCGAGCAACGGGAGCTCACCCCGTCATGGTGATTCAAACCACCGACCTTCTGATCAGCAAGTCCTAGGCTCTGTGGTTTACACCACAGCACCACCCGCGTCCCTGGTTGCCAGCTTAGAAGAGGCCAAATTAAGTGCTTATGCATGCAAGAAATGCAAGGCTGGTGCAGAACCACAGTGAAACTAGACAAGATGCCTTATAATTACCTCCTTGCCCTTATGTCTAGTAAAACTAGGAACTATTATAGCAAGGGTCAGCAAACTTTTTCAGCAGGGGGGCGGTCCACTGTCCCTCAGACCTTGTGGGGGATTGGACTATATTTTGGGAAAAAATAATGAACGAATTCCTATGCCCCACAAATAACCCAGAGATGCATTTTAAATAAAAGGACACATTCTAATGTAAAAACACGCTGATTCCTGGACCGTCCACAGGCCGGATTTAGACGGCAATTTGGCCAGATTCAGCCCCCAGGCCTTAGTTTGCCTACCCATGTATTATAGGATCTCATTTGACTGGGCATACAGAGAAAGAGGACACCGTATCAGAACTAATTTCAAGTACTCTTCTGTCTGGTGTGTAAGAGGCACTTAGTCATCACCCAAGGTGTCCAGCTGTAGCAGTTGACACTCTTTGTTATTATTTTTAAGTAACTGGTAATTATTCATTATAGAAGGGTTACAGATAAATCCATAGAAGATTGGGTTTTGTTGATTACCGGTATTTATTAGAATTGTGACTTCTTAACATGGGGTACCTCTATGCTCATTGTACCAGCTCCCTTAAATTCAAACATTTTTTAATATTACTTAAATGTTGTTAAGTGTTTGACTTTATACACCATTTCCCACTTTCTTTTTAATACTAATGCTCAGTTAAAGTCTTTAATGCTAGAATATAAAAGGACTGGAAGGGGCAAAAAAGTCTAATAGTGGATTATTGCTGCAGCTCCTGATGATAACAGGTTCTAAATTTAGCTCCATAATGGTTGCATTCTACAGTAACAAGAGCCTGCTGGCTCATCCTCCTGTCATAGTGGCCAACAAGATGCTCGCTGGAAGCTCACAAGCAGGACCTGAGTTCAACACTACGTTCTCCTCCTCTTGTTCCAGCAATTGGAATTCAGGTGCATACTGCCTCTGATTGTGGGGAAAGAGCTTCGCCATAGTGGCTAGTGGCCATGAATAGCTTTATCCTCCCTGAAAGTTGTCTAAGCTAGGGCTGCCATACTGGGATTTCAAAGGTGGAAGTGACATCCAGGGGGAAAGGCGGTGGTTAGTCCTGGATCTTTGGTAAGTTAACTGAAGATTTGTGTTTTTATTAAAAAAAACCCCAACCCCCCCCCCCGAAGCTCAACAATTTTGGGGTCTTCCTAATTTGGGGGATCTTTCAGGGTGTCCTGGTTTTTACTTTGTAAAATATGGCAACCATATCTAAGCATCTTCCACAGCTCTCCAACTTGCCTTCAACAGTTCAATTCAATAGTTTAATTTTTGCACTGTGTGAAGTACTTTTGTTTGTCTGCCCTCAATCTTCCAACTCTTATAAGTTCCCTGGGGGAAGACAAGTAAAACATCTTATTATCCACAACTTACCCCTTCCTTTTAATGTTGTTCTAAGGAAAGGGGTCACCGGTCGGTCAACAAAATCTTCCTCATGGTTGATCAGGGCTTCTTTCACGGCTTGGAAGCCAGACAGTACTACGACAGGTAGAAGTCCTATCCGTATAGTGTAAACGTTTCCATATTGCTTTGCCATCTGCCATTGGGATCAAAGTGGAGGCGAGAAGCAATCATATGGAGGAGGCGATTTCAAGTTAGTATGTGACCTACACCCTTCTTCAGCTTCTGGCAGGGTGGAGCTCTCCACTCCCTTTTAAACATAAGCTACTATTTTAAAGTAACCACTTACATTTCTTCATTTAATAATCATGTAATAACTAAGCATACACAACTTTCTTAACAATAGCACCTGTATCTTACTAATGCCTTACCATGCCATGGAAAAAAGGGAAGTCTCTGTTACAGGGGGCGGGGATCCTCTGAGAAAGTGAAGGACAAGTTAAGAGTACTGCTGGAAGGAGAAGTGAGTTGACTGGATTTATGGTGCTGCAGCACTGAAAACATATTGCAAGATAAGAGAGATATAATATGGAAAGAGGGTTACAGCTCTTAAGTCCACAGTTTAAGTCCACAGTAAGAGCTGTTCGACAGTGGAATTTGCTGCCAAGGAGTGTGGTGGAGTCTCCTTCTTTGGAGGTCTTTAAGCAGAGGCTTGACAACCATATGTCAGGAGTGCTCTGATGGTGTTTCCTGCTTGGCAGGGGGTTGGACTCGATGGCCCTTGTGGTCTCTTCCAACTCTATGATTCTATGATTCTATGAGTTTGGGAGGGCTATTAAACACCCATTTGTTTTATCTAGCCTTCCCTTGACTAGTTTGTGTCCTGTTTGCTGGACTGGAGCTGGGGTAGAATATATTATTTTGGATTTTTTTTTAAAAAAAAATTACGGTACTTTGTATAATTGTAGCCTTTTTTCATGTGTGCTGCTGTGGGTGGGCTTTGCCCCCCAAAGCAACATAGAACTGTTTGGGTTTTTTTAAAAGGTTTTTTAATTGGTTTTCAAATTACTTTAGAACCACAAAGACAGATGAACAGTAACAAAACAAAACAAAAATTATACTGTATCCAGCTAAATGCAGGGCATACAAAGCCTAAACATATTAAATGATACCACCCAATCTAAGATCAAAACATCCATATTTCTCTAGATAGGGGATAAAAAGCTAAAGGGACCCCTGACCATTAGGTCCAGTCGTGACCAACTCTGGGGTTGCGGCGCTCATCTCGCTTTATTGGCCGAGGGAGCTGGCATACAGCTTCCAGGTCATGTGGCCAGCATGACTAAGCCGCTTCTGGCGAACCAGAGCAGCACACGGAAACGCCATTTACCTTCCTGCACTTTGACGTGCTTTTGAACTGCTAGGTTGGCAGGAGCAGGGACCGAGCAACGGGAGCTCACCCCGTCACAGGGATTCGAACCACCAACCTTCTGATCGGCAAGTCCTAGGCTCTGTGGTGTAACCCACAGCGCCACCTGCGTCCCATAGATAGGGGATAGATACTTGTAAATCTGAAACTATAATACATGAAATAAAATCCCTCCATACTGAGTAGAAATGACCAGAATCTCCCTGTCCCTTAGAGACCCCTAATGTATGGAGTCTTTAGGACAGGCATGTCCAAAGTCCGTTTTGGGCGCTTTATCCGGCCCTCCGGTCAGTTTAATCCAGCCCCTGTGGCAGTTTATTTCTTGGGGTAAAATCATAAAAAAACCTCTAGAACTTCAATCCTAAAATAAGGTCAACAACTTTGGTCGGCCCACACAGCCCTTCACTTCATCAAATCTGGCCCTCTTTGACCCCACTGCTTTAGGATATATCGTTTATTTACACATATATACAACTTGAGTCTACAATGGAGGGGCTCACAGCATTATCACCCCAAGAGGGCCTTGCTTCCCCCCATAATCACAGTCTTGTATTCAAACAGAAATCAAGCATCACTCTGTCTCTCTGGCTTCCCAGCCTGCTGCTTCTAGCTTCTAGCTCACATCACCCCACTCTCACCTTTGTCTTTCTAACTACCAGAGTCAGTGAGGGAGGCTCACACATTTCCCACTGGTGTGGAGCCACTTCCTTTTAATGGCTATCACCTCACCAGGAATTTTAATCCTTATATTTTAATACTTCCTTGATCCAGGGATTAGAAGGGTCTCTTGCATAAAGCCTACTCCCTGCCGCCCAGCTCATAACAAGATACTTGGTTGAGTCTGAAGTGAAAAGAAGGTTGCCATTACTTTGCACTTTGTACATGGCTCAAAGTCACTGCTTGTTGTGCTCCTTGATGACTGCTTTGGAAATGCTGGTTCAGTGGCATATTGTTCATTGACTGGGGATTTTAGGTCAACTTGCTGGAGATTTTGGAGAATTTTGTAGTTGAAGCAGTTTCAGTATTAGAGACTGATAAACTGATATGGGTTGATGCCCTATTGGTACTTACCATCCAGTTTTCAAACCTCTGTCATACAGAAAACCCCGCCTTCCAGGGCTGGCTCTGTGTAAAGTTAAGGGTCTCCTTTGCTACTATGCTCACAGGCAAACTGGAGCTGAGCTAGTCATTTTATGATTGTAAAATAAAAATAATCATCACTGTTGGAGTTATAGGCAAGCAGAAGATTTTTTGTTTATTGAGTAAATCATATGAAAACTGACCGATAATAATTGTGCATATAAGTTTACTATAAGATACATAAAATCAATAAAAACTATCAGTACTTTTATTGAACAGTAGACTAAACAAGTCACTAAGTTTTTTTCCTCCTAAGCATACAATCTTATAGCCAAGAGTCTTGTGACATCTTAAACTGTCAACACATTAATAATAATAATAATAATAATAATCTATTTATATGATTATTCCAGCAAAGTATTAAACCACAGTAAAACGTCACACATGAAAAGCTTCCCTAAACAGGGCTGCCTTCAGATGTCTTCTAAAAGTCAGATAGTTTTTATGTTCTTGACATCTGGTGGGCGGGTGTTCCACAGGGCGGGTGCAACTACCAAGGAGGCCCTCAGCATAAGCTTAATAAAGTTGTTAGTGTTTAAAGGCTCCGGAAATCTCTGTGTTATTTTAGCTGCAAGTGGGCTAACATAGCTCCCCATCTGGCAATTGTTGCATTACATTCCTACTTATTTTAGATTTCACACCTTGAAATGATTTATCATTGGATAATTCCTTCCAGGTACCAGTGGAAGAAAACAATTCACAATTCTCATTGTGGGTTTTATTAATTAATTAAGCAGATCAATTAATTAGAAAGATGTACCTCAATGAAAGCATCTGAAGAAAGTCTGATCCCAAACCGCCACAGGCTTCCAATGAGAGGAAGTGGAAGAGGCCCAGGAGGGTAGCTTCTAAGTGACCAGAGCTGTCTCAGATAGCTCAGAACTGGGAATGGAATCTTCTTAATCCAGTCTATCATTGTTTGCAACATCCTCCTGCCTTTTCTTTCTGTATCTTTGTATCTGTCCAGCACACCTGTGAGAGGTGAATGCTCTTTTCTCCTGTGGCTTTTTGGCTCTCTCAGAGATGTTGCATTCTGTCTTCGTTTCTCTTCTCACTGCCTTTTAAATACTATAATTAACATATTAGTAAGCAGCAAGGCCTCTTGCACATCTAATAAGTTTCAGAATGGGATCAGATAGGCATGCATTATTTCAGCACGTGTGGTTACTTCTAGACCTATTTATTAATTACTGTAGTCACCTTGATTTGTTTGTGCAAAGTTTGTGGGGAGGTTATAATATAACATAGGAAAGAACTGGTCTCCCACACTTTTTAGTACCTTTTCCTGTCACTGTTATTACTGCAAAAAGAAAAAGTGAAAAAGAAAGAAAAAATGAAGCGAATTTCTCTCACAAATAAGCAGCAATCTGGAAACGTTCTTAGTTGCTTCTGATGGAAAGAGATTTCCATATCAAAGTCTAATATAATCCAAGCCAACCAGGTGATATAGATAATGGTGGTGACCACATTTATTCTGAATACAAACTTAACAACTCTTCATTAAATATATGTACACAAAAGCTGTCCTTTTATTTTTACACAATCTTTGCCTCCCCACAGTCTCTGCGATGATGAAAATTCCACAAAGTATGTTGGATATTCTGGCTTTGCCAACTAACTTCTATGAATGGGTACTTGATTTCCTCACTGAAAACACCACAAAAACTGATGTGTGTTTTTGCACATGGCATCCATATTGAAACCTTCAGTTTGCAAATGTATGTATAACACTGATTGTTGTTTCATAGTGTAGATTCCATTTTTATGCCATGCTTGGTGAATGGGTCAATCTACTTTCTGTCTATATCACTTCTTTTCATATGTGCTCAGGATAAGTCTTCTGTCCCACAACATTTTTTTAAAAAAGGAAGTCTGAGCGGAAATTCATATTGTTAAAATGCATGTATTTGAACATATTTTCCTCTCAATGTTCACATTTCTAAAATAAAAAATTCCTTCCAGTAGCACCTTAGAGACCAACTAAGTTTGTTATTGGTATGAGCTTTCGTGTGCATGCACACTTCTTCAGATACACGGAATCAGAAGTCACCAGACCCTTATATATAGTGAGAGGGTGGAGAGGGGTATTACTCAAAAGGGTGGTGGGAATGGGTGATTGGCTGATAGGTGTGGTAAACCTGTTGACGACTGTTAACGACTGCAATTGGAATTACAGGAAAGAGCAAGGGGTGACATTTCTAAAGTTACTTTATTCTTAAATACATTTCAGAATACTTATATCAGTTTATTTTTGAGCTGAAAACAACAATGCAAAGTTAAAGAAGTGCGAAATCAGAAGGATAATTGTCTTTCGATTTACACATCAGTCTAGGAGGATTATCCTGAGCTTTTGTTTGTCCTTCTTACCTGTCAGGTATTTAGTTGGGAGCAACCACCTAGAGGCATAAGCCAAAGGGCGAGAAACAAAAGATAACCTGTCACCAAAGAAATCCAGGTTATCCCTAAATCAGCCTTTCGTCCCAGGATGCTGTTGGACTACAAGTCCCATCTTCCCTGAACACAGGTTCTGCTGGCTGGGGATGACTGGAGTTGTAGTCCAACATTTGGGGACCAAAGGTTGAAAAAGGCTGCCCTAAGCTGTGAAGTGCATATTCTTCCTCTACAACATAGGAGCCAACTCCTAGGGACTAAGGTCCTGCCGCCGCCGCCGACTTCCCCCCAATAAAATATTTGAGAGGGAGGCAGGAAATAGTCAGAACATCTGCAGTCTGCTTTGGGGCTGGTTCATGGATGTGAGGAGTCAGATAGTATTCCCTGGTCTTCTGAATAACATAGGGCTGTCATACGTCCAGATTTTCCCGGATATTATAATAATAATAATAATTTATTATTTATACCCCGCCCATCTGGCTGGGTTTCCCCAGCCACTCTGGGCGGCTTCCAACTGAATATTAAAAACAGTACAGCATCAAACATTAAAAACTTCCCTAAAGAGGGCTGCCTTCAGATGACTTTTAAAAGTAAAATAGTTGTTTATTGCTTTGACATCTGCTGGGAGGGCGTTCCACAGGGCAGGAGCCACTACCGAGAAGGCCCTCTGCCTGGTTCCCTGTAACCTTACTTCTCGCAATGAGGGAACCGCCAGAAGGCCCTCGGCGCTGGATCTCAGTGTCCGGGCTGAACGATGGGGGTGGAGACGCTCCTTCAGATATTACTGGGATTTTGAAGGGGAATTGATATCTGGAGGGGGGGAGGGGAATTCATCCTGGATCAATCAAAGAAAAGCTTAGGGGTGTCCTGGTTTTTACTTTTTGAAAAAATGGCAACCCTAGAATAACATGGAACTTCACACCCACAAATTCAGGCTGTCTCTGTAGTGAGAGGCCAGGAAAATTGCACCTTGGCATTATGCATCCACCTGTGCTGTGACAAAGGAATAAGTCTGCCTAAAAGTCCTTGGTCTCAAGCCAGGAGAATGAGAAGTCAAACCTGCATTTTGAATTGAGTCCAAAAGAAGACATGACGCCAGAGCAGTTAGCAAAATGCTGGGATAATAGGGCATCAGTGCCAAGTCCTGGTTAACAACCTTACAGCTGTCTTTTGGACTAATTGCTGTTTAAACCATCTTATTATTTTATTACCATATTTATGTTAAAATTCCTGATCTCTGATTGCAGTCATGGGATGGTAGTCTTTCACATGACGGTATTATGTTTTGACTCCACAGAGTGGAAAAATGACGAAGACAGGATGTTTGTGTTACTGTGTTCTGTGAAGTGGGACTATTGTCCTTTGTTTTGTTTTTTCTCTTTGCTGTCTGATGCTAGAGAGAGAGGGAGCCATGTTGCAGTGCTCAATGTGTATGTTTATATGTAAATAAAGTAGATTAGCCAAAATGCTGAGTTGCTGTGGTCTGTCACGCATGATGTGCAAACTCTGCGGATCCCTAAGGTGTTGGTTGGCATCGGTCGCTGTGATGTTCGGGCAGAAGAAAGCTTATGAAGCTCCCGAACGATCGACCAGGAGGGAGGGAACATGCCAGTCGGGCCTGTGTCTCTGCCAGGGTCCTACTCGAGTGTAGGCCGAACTCCTGAATTTATGGTCAACCATAAACAGCTGTTTCCTGTGTGGCTTATGAAACAAGTAAAATGCAATATTAAAATAACAGAGAGTGCCTGAGGCTGTTCAGAAGAAACTAGGTAACCAGGTAAGAAAATCACTGTTATAGGTTTTGGGTGCCAGAGTTTGTGGGTGCAAGGTACTCCCTAGATTTAGCAAATGTTAGAATTTAACCAATACTTAAGAAAAGGAGCCAGTCATTTAATGTGGCAGTGTAAAAATACAGGCTAAACTTGTTTTCCTGGCCAGGGAATCGCCTGGAGGCAGTAATAACCTATTAAGATTGGCCATCAGTGAAGCTAAGGCTGTGTCAGATACTGGCTGGAAGATAGCCAGTAAGACAAAAGATTAGTAGTTTCTGTTTAGGACTGCAGTTTGCCTGATGTAAGTGAACAGGGGGACAATGTCAGTTTTGAAAGCTTAGCTGTAAAGGATCTTAATATATGAGAAAGCGTTCTATCAGGTAACACTTTTATAGTTTAAATTGGGCCCGGAAAACTACTGAGAGCCGGTACCAAATCTTCAAAGGAAGCACTATGAATTGCATTCATCTGTTTCCCAGGCATGAATCACGCAGGCCAAACTAGGATTGCAACTAGTGCACCAGTATAAAATTGTTAAAGGCACAGCAGGTCAAGGAGGCTTCCTGAAATAAACAAGGTGAATGTTTCTAACCCAGGCAAATGAGCCATAAACCAAAGGGTGTTCCATACTGATCTGGATTTAACTTCAGGTGCTTTGCATTTCGGCCTTTAAAACCACTCCTCTTACTGCAAAGTTCATTACAGTCCTGTCCTTGAATACCCTTAACTGATGTGACACATTGTCAACAATCTGTTGCTGAGGAGGATGTCCATTGTCCCTGTTGCTTTTTATTTTGGTCTTAGAAGGTTTGCTTAGAGACATTAGACAAGATGAAATAATTCTGGCGGTAAAGATTTTAAAAAAGAAACTTACAAGTTTCATGCCTTTGCTGATGATTGGATGATAGTTTTGGAAAATCCACTACAGAGAGCAGAGACTCTTATGAATAAATTGAATTATTTTTGTACATTAGCCGGTTTTAAGATTAATCACCAGAAAATGAAAATGATAATAAATAATATGACAATAGAAGATCAAAAGCTTTTGAAGGAGAAAATGGGGTTTCAATTTGAGGAAAAAAGTAACACATTTGGGTATTATGACAAATGTGAATTGTATGTTGTTTCGAAATAATTATGTTAAGACATGTCCCATTGATTTTAATGTAATTTAAGCACAACTAACTTTCTCTGGCTTTAGTGCCCTTAATTGTTTGCATTGTTTATACTAACCCGCTCCTTTTAAAAAAATAATATTTTATTAAAGTTTTCTTGGTTTACAAAGGTATGCGCAATGTCTCTTTTTTCAAGTGACATTTTCCATAGATCAGTTTCATTTGTTGAGACATTAGGGTTACATTAGGAAGAAAAAAGGGGAGAAGAGGTGGCCATGGTGAGTGGGGGTGGTGTCGGGAGGCGATATTTCTATTTTGCTTAATGTATGTGTGGGTTTTTTGTATCAGGGTCATTTGTGCAGGTTCTCTTTGCTATTCGCTTGTGTTCCTTTGGTGGTGAGAAAAATTGTGGTTGGCCTAGGGTGTGCTTGCTTGTTTGTGATTGGCTGTGTTGAACTTTGTTTTCGTGTGTGAGTGGGGTGAGTGTGTGTTTTTGAATCAGGTTAGCCATATTGATTCATATGCTGTTGGTGGATTCTTGTCGTTGTCTTGTTGGGCTGTGTATGTGATGAAGGGGAGCCATACCGGGGTGAAGGTATCGTCTTCTATTTGTCCCCGTGTCAGTTTCAGTTTATTGGTTAAATTTTCTAGTAGGGCTGTTTCTCATACTATTTGGTACCATTGGTCCATGCTTACTCTTGACAGGTCTCTCCAGTGTCTGGCTATGATGTTTCTGGTTGCTGAGAGTAGGTGGGTTATGAGTTCTTGGGAGTATATTTGTTTGAGGATTTGTAGGAAGTTGGGGCCAAACTTCATGTTAGTTAGTACTGCTAATAGGTATTTCCACTCTAAGCAATCAAAAGCTTTGAGGATGTCTAGGGACATAATTGTCAGTGGGAGTTTGGTTGCCTTGCTGTGTTCAATCAGGTTCAGTAGTTTCCTGATGGGGTCTGTTATATTGCGACCAGGGACAAAGCCAGTCTGGTCTGGGGCTATTAACTCGTGTAGGAAATTTTTTTGGTGGATTGTTTATACTTCTAGGATGTAAGAGTACAAATATATTGCCACAATAAATGCTGAGCCTTATAATTATTATCATTTAATTTGTTCTAACAGTTAACCTATATTTTCTTATAATTGCTTTGATATTATTATGGTTGTATAACTTTTGGCTCAGTTGAAAGTGAAGAATAAAGGATGGGAGGTTAACTGTTAGAACAAATTAAATGATAGTAATTATAAGGCTCAGCATTTATTGTGGCAATATATTTGTACTCTTACATCCTAGAAGTATAAACAATCCGCCTAAAAAAATTCCTACACAAGTTAATAGGGTAATTCTGGATCTATTGCTGTTGCTTGAGGATCAGGTGGCTTCAGTGCCACACAGGGCCTTCCACCAGTTTTGGCTGGTGGCCCACCTGCACACCTATCAAGACAAGGATAGCCTAACTTCCGTCATCTATGCTTTGGTAACCTGTAGGTTAGGGTTAGGGTTAGGGTTGCAATGTGTTATAAGTGGAGCTGCCTCTGAAGACTGTTCAGAAACTTTAGCTGGTGCAGAATTCAGCAGCCAGGTTGCACACCGGGGCAAGACAGTTCAAGCATATACAGTCATACCTTGAATTGAAGTTGCTTCAGGTTGAGCACTTTCGGGTTGTGCTCCGTGGCGAACCAGAAGTAGCGAAATGCGTTACTTCCAGGTTTTGCCGCTCAGGCGTGTACAGACAGTCAAATTGACGTCACGCATATGCGCGGAAGCGGCGAATCGCCATATGCGCAGACGCGGGTTGCGTTTACTTTGGGATGCGAACAGGGCTCCGGAACGGATCCCATTCGTATCCAAAGGTACCACTGTAATGCCAATCCTGGCCCAACTGTACTGGCTGCAGATTAGTTTCTGGGCCCAATTCAAAATGCTGGCTATACCTATAATTGACTCAGGACCGCAATAGCTGAAGGACTGTCTCTCTCCATATGAACTGACCCAGACACTGAGATAATTGTTAAATAATTTTTTTTTTAAATTTTCAATTACAAAAGTCAATATACACCATATTATATCAATGTTGTTGTTGTTTAGTCGTTTAGTCGTGTCCGACTCTTCGTGACCCCATGGACCAGAGCACGCCAGGCACTCCTGTCTTCCACTGCCTCCCGCAGTTTGGTCAAACTCATGTTCGTCTCTTCGAGAACACTGTCCCACCATCTCGTCCTTTGTCATCCCCTTCTCCTTGTGCCCTCCATCTTTTCCAACATCAGGGTCTTTTCCAGGGAGTCTTCTCTTCTCAGGAGGTGGCCAAAGTAAGAATTAACTCCGCAGAGGTTCCAAGTCCTTTTTATAATTATTCCAAACTTTAATATTTTCCTCACAAAGTCCTGCTTGTCATTATAATCCATATCTATACTCCCATCTCCTTTTTTATTCGCTTGCTGTAAAGAACAATTATTATTTTTTTGCATTCTTGGGGGTGTTGCTGAGTCATTTATGTAACAAAGGATTTATAATGAAGCAACTGGCTCCCCCCAAACACATACCAACTTTTAGCTCGAATGAAGTCATCTTTCCAATTTGAATTTGTACGACCTTGTAGCTGTTTCGATTTGGCTGTCCTTAATCTTGTCCCATCATTACCAGCACGCGTCTGTGCATTAATCCTAATTAGTCCATTAATGAACAGAAGAACTGCTGCTCTTAATGGCGGCATTGAAGGGTTACCGAGAGGTGAAGTGCTTTTGCACTCAGCGTCTCCCTGCCTCCTACATCCATGTCGGAGCAAAAGCCAGGTCCTGAGACGATCTGCAAGTGAAGCTCTTCCGCCCCCAACCCTGGGGGGAGTTTACAAAGATAATTACCCTCTATCATCTTTATTTATCGCTTCGCCAACAATCTCCCATTGTTGTGGGAGCTGTGCCATTAAGGCAACCAGAAACCGGAAGCCTGGACCCTGAGTAATTATCTGAGGCCCTTCTTTGTGTGCCTCCTCCATGAGAAGTCCAGAGTGCAGCAGCATGAGAACAGGCCTTTTCTGCAGTGGCTCCCTGTTTGTGGAATGTTTTCCCCAGGAAGGTTTGGCTGGCACATTCATTATACACCTTTAGGCACCAGGTGAAAAAAAATTCTCTATATCCAGGCCTTTGGCTGATTAAACATTCTATGACCTTTTAAATGAGCTTGTAGGAGGGGGTTTATTATTATAAATAAAAATAATGTGGGAGGTTCCCCTCCACAGGGCGCTGAGCCTAGGGGGCACAAAATTGAGAAGACACATAATTGAGAAGATCTGTTTGGGGGTGCCAAATTTTGGCCTAGCTCAGAGTGCCATATTATCAAAGATTACCAATTTCTGCCCCTGCTGCAAATGAGGGATATTTTAATTGGTCCAAAGATAGTAGAACTGAGTAAACCAAGGATAGAATGTTAATCAAAGTGGAAAATAATAATAAAGGAGAAATTTATGGCAAAAAATAAACAAACCATGGTAATTATTTTGACAGGCTTCCTGATGCACTGCAGCGAGGAATAGCACAGAGTTTGTGAGGGTGGGGGTGCAATGTCAGCCCCAAAACAGGCCTTTTATTGAGTTCCTTTACTCCTTCTGGCAGCTGGAAACGGAATGCCCTCAACAGGGTGGTTAGGAAGATGAATATCTCCATCTTGGCCATCTGCTCTCCCACACAGGCTCGAGCCCCTGCAGAAGAAAGAAGGGGAAGCAGCAAGTGAGACATAACCAACTCCATCTATTCTCCAGTTCATCTGGTTTGCTCAGCTAGTAGTTTTAGCCACAACAACAACAACAACAACAAAAAGCTGGAAAACAGCTACTCCCAAAGTATCTCCCTTGAATCCTCTGGGTTGACATCCTGAGGGTCCTGGCTTTGCTCCAGGAAATACTGGAAGCTGACCTTGAGTGGCTGCAGTTCCCAAAGGAAGACTAAGCTTGAAAGCAGCATGAGCATTTGGATATGGAGCATACAGGTCATGGTTGCATCACTATATGTAGTACTTTGGGAAAGCAGGTCTAACTACTGCCAGAAGGGCATAAGAGAAGGAATAAATCAAAGTGCATTTAATCACACATTGCCTGTGTGTGAATCTCAGAGCTGACACCTGGTGGCCAATAGTGGCAGCTACCAAGTCCAACAGTGATGGAGGTAACAGAAGCTACAACAAAAAGAAGAAATGAAGAGATGGAAAGAGAGAAAGAGGCTGGAGCAGCTGTCTGTTCTGGGCTCAGCTCCTGCAGTAGCCATGCAGAGAAAAATATTCTGTACATGGAAGTGCATGCAATTTACAGCAGAGCTACGGTTTCTAACTGATCCATTCTTTTTTCTATATTGTTTTGCCAATAAATAAAAAAACCACAAAAAACCAAGCACAGGAACCAAATGCCCCAAATCTTACTGCAGCTGTGTGGCTGGTGGAGCTGAGGATTTAACCCCTTTACTTCTAAACCATTTCCCCCAAACTGAATTTCTCTTTTTTTTTTCCAAAATTTTTATTGCGTTTCTTTCCATAATTTTGTACATTCCACACAACACAAATAAAGTAGATACAAGAAACAATTTTTTCTTTTTTTTTTAACAAAAACAAAAAAACAACAAAAAAAATAGAAACAAATCCCTGTTTGGACTTCCCCACACCTTCCGGATCTGCGTTCTTTAAATTAACAATGTCAGCAATTTGTTACCTTATTTCATACCTTATTGTAACTTTCAATTGTTATGTGTCCAAATTCAATGTATTGTATCTTAGTTTTAATGCCTTTAAAATAAACATAACATGTTCGATTCAGATTATCTCCTTTTCTCTTTTATCACTTGTTTTACCATTTACTTAATCATATTTGCTAAAGCATAACATTTCCTAATCATGCACTATCTTAGGATTCATACAGCTTGTAATATTTTTGCAAATAGTCTTTAAATTTTTTCCAGTCCACCTCAATTGTTTCTTCGTCCAAATCTCGGATTCTGCCGGTCAATTCAGCTATTTCCATGTAGTCCATCAACTGCGTCTGCCATTCCTCCAGCGTGGGCAAATCTTGTGTCTTCCAACTCTTTGCAATGAGTATTCTTGCTGCTGTGCTAGCATACATAAACAAAGTTCTGTCCTTCTTTGACATTTTCTGGTCCACCATACCCAGCAGGAAGGCCTCTGGTTTCTTGGGAAAGGTATACCTAAATACCTTTTTCAATTCGTTATAAATCATTTCCCAGAAGGCCTTCACTTTTGGGCGGGTCCACCAAAGATGGAAAAATGTCCCTTCTGCCTCCTTACATTTCCAACATTTGTTGTCAGACAGGTGATATATCTTAGCTAACTTGACTGGGGTCATGTACCACCGGTATATCATTTTCATAATGTTTTCCTTCAAGGCACTACATGCCGTGAATTTCATTCCGGTGTTCCATAACCTTTCCCAGTCTTCAAACATAATGTTGTGTCCAACATCCTGTGCCCATTTTATCATGGCAGATTTAACTATCTCATCCTGTGTGTTCCACATAAGCAGCAAGTTATACATTCTCGATAAGGTCTTGATCTTTGGTTCTAACAATTCTGTCTCTAGTTTCGATTTTTCCACCTGGAAACCAACTTTTTTATCCATTTTAAAAACCTCTTGAATTTGAGCATAGTGTAACCAATCTCGCACCTTGTTTTTTAGTTTATCCTGGCTCTGCAACTTCCAGTTGTCTCCAGTTTTTTCAATTAATTCCCAATATTTCGGCCAGTAGGCCTCCATATTGAGTCTTTTTCGAGCCTTGGCCTCCCCCAAACTGAATTTCTCTTCAAGAGATGACAGTTGATCCATGGGAGGGATAGTCAATGTGGTTCCATCTGGTTCTTGAACTATCCAGCTCTAGGCAGCATAGCCAAGAGTCATGGATGATGGGCACTGTAGTCCAACATCTGGAGGGCTATCCCTGCTCTAAGGCATAAAAAGTGTTTTGAAGGGGAATTCACATTGGAAAAGTGACATGGAAGAAAAGTGTTAAATTTCCACACTCTCAGCACTATGACCCCAGCCTGATTTTTAAACCACATGTGATCCTTCCATGGCCCTCTCACTGTTTAATCAAACAACAACAACAACAACATTCAATTTATATACCACCTTTTATCCTAAGATCCCAAACTGGTGTATAACATTAAGAACATAATTTATGCAGCATAATAAAAAACCGCAACACACAATATAATAATATACAGCATAATGATAAAATAATCATAGCGTCAGTTCCCCTTATCCACATTTAACAGGCCATAGATTATAGTGGCCAAAGGCCTGGGTAAAGAGGAATGTTTTTGTCTGGTGCCTATCCCACTCTGTGTGTGTTTGTCTAAATTATTATTATTATTATTATTAATTTATTTATTATTTATACACTGCACATCTGTCTGGGTTTCTGGCTGCCACTCTGGGCAGCTCCCAACAGAACACTAAAAACAGAATAAAACATCAAACATTAAAAATTTCCCAATACAGAGCTGCCTTCAGATGTCTGCTAAAAGTCAGATAGTTGTTTATTTCCTTGACATCCGATGGGAGGGCGTTCCATAGGGCGGGCGCCACTACCGAGAAGGCCCTCTGCCTGGTTCCCTGTAACCTCACTTCTCACAGTGAGGGAACTGTCAGAAGGCCCTTGGCGCTGGATCTCAGTGTCTGGGCTAAATGATAGGGGTGGAGATGCTCCTGCAGGTACACTGGCCCTCTAGTAGTCTTTAGCTAAAAACAGTGAAAAGTGGGAGCAGATTCATTACCCACAAAGCAACTAGTTAGAATGGTGCCTGCACATTTTTATTTGTTCATACACATTTGACCATCAGTTTCTTTGAAGCAAGCTACTAAATATAACTGTAAATTATTTCTGTGCATACCTGCTCCAAATGGGAGATATTCTTCTCTAGACCTGAAATTTCCATCCTTGTCCAAAAAGTGGTGTGGGTTGAACTCTTCAGGTGTTTCCCATCGTGTGGGATCAACAAGAACAGAATTCAGATCTGTAATAACAAATGTCCCCTAAAAAGAAGAAACAGTTGGCTCAGAATGCATCCGGACCAGCACACTTCAGAATGGATTTGAAAAACTAGGAGCTGGCGGGCTGGCACACGCAGTAGATTTATGGGAAGACTGTATCATCATTGTCCCCAGGCGACAGAAGTAAAGAAAGATCTAGAAATATGGTCAAGATTGAGACTTTCCTTGTTAGGCCGAATTGCTGTCATTAAGATGAATGTATTGCCTAGAATGCTGTTTTTATTTCAGACACTCCAGATCATGGATAAGATGGACTGTTTCAAGAAGTGGCAGAAAGACATATCCAAATTTGTCTGGCAGGGCAAAAAGCCCAGAATAAAATTTAAGATTTTAACTGATGCAAAAGATAGAGGGGGGTTTGCCCTGCCGGACTTAAGATTCTACTATGAATCGGCAGCTTTCTGCTGGTTGAAACAATGGCTGCTTCTTGAGAATACAGACATTTTGGATCTGGAAGGGTATGACAATAGATTTGGTTGGCATGCATATATATGGTATGACAAGGTAAAATCGCATAAAGGCTTTAAAAACCATATTGTTAGGAAAGCATTATACAATGTTTGGATAAGATACAAAGACCTATTGGAAAGTAAAACTCCCAGGTGGTTATCACCAATGGAAGCTAAAGAGACTAAAAAACTTAATATGGAGTCGAATTGGCCAAAATACTGTGAAATCTTAGAACAAGACGGTGAAAGAGTTAAACTACAGAGTTATGAGAAATTAAAGTCTAAGGTAAGAGACTGGTTGCATTACCTTCAGATAAATGAGGTATTTAAACAGGACAGGAAAATAGGTTTCCAGATGGAGAGGTCAAAATTGGAAACAGAACTGTTAGAATCCAATACTAAGAACTTGTCAAGAATGTATAATTTGCTGTTGAAATGGAATACACAGGATGAAACGGTGAAATCAGCTATGATTAAATGGGCACAAGACATTGCTCATGATATTATGTTTGCTGACTGGGAACAGTTATGGAATATTGGTGTTAAGTTCACGGCATGTAATGGTTTAAGAGAAAACATTATGAAAATGATTTACAGGTGGTACATGACCCCAGTCAAGCTTGCAAAAATTTATCATTTGCCCAACAATAAATGCTGGAAATGTAATGAGACTGAAGGTACCTTTTATCACCTTTGGTGGACCTGCCCGAAGATTAAAGCCTTTTGGGAAATGATCTATAATGAAATTAAGAAGGTTCTTAAATGGACCTTTTCTAAAAAGCCTGAGGCTTTTCTCCTGGGCATGGTTGGCCAATTGGTGACAAGGAAGGATAGGACGTTTTTTATGTATGCTACTGCAGCAGCAAGAATTCTTCTGGCAAAGTATTGGAAGACACAAGAGTTACCCACTCTGGAAGAATGGCAAGCAAAGGTGATCGACTACATGGGACTGGCAGAGATGACCGGCAGAATCCGCGACCAGGGGAGAGAGACAGTGGAAGAAGACTGGAAGAAATTCAAAATTTATCTTAAAAATTGTTGTAAAATTGAAGTGTAATGAGATGTTAAGGTGTTAAGAAATAGAGAATTGCAGCTGTAAACAATAAGTTAAGGAAATTAGAATGAAAGTGAATTAATTAATTAGTTGGAGGGTTGCCGAAGAAAGGTAAAAACAAGGATGCAGAAAAGGGGAGGTATGGGGAAGTCCGGGAAGCAAGGTGTAGGAAGATAAGATTATGAAAGTATACATGTTTATATGTTTGTATGTTTTGTTTTGTTTTGTTTGATTGTTTGTTTTTATTACATGTTTGGAAAATTAATAAAAATTACTTTAAAAAAAAACAAAACATCATTGTCCCCAGGCAACACAGTAATATCAACGAGGACTCGGTTGAAAAAGATAATTAAACTGGATTCTGAAGTCATCATATAGTGAAGGGAAGTGATTAATCTTGATAAAGTTGCTTATGTCTTAAGTATCTGGGCTTCATCCCACATTGCTTACACAATCAGACTCTGGCTTATAAATATCGTAACAGTTTATTAACCTTCAGGGGTTTTCCCCCTAGTTCCTCAGATTCTGCATTACACACGTGGATGCTTAATTCAAAGTGTCACCATCAGATGCTCTTTTCTCTCAAAATATACAGATGTTTCCTACCTTTGGAATGTGAAAACCACGCATCTTCATATCCTTTGCACTTCGTCTGGGAATCCCAACTAATAAGGGATATTTTGCACGCAAAATTTCATGCATCACCGCGTTGGTGTAAGGCAGTTTCTTTCGATCTTCATAGCAAATGGGAAGGGAGGAACCTAAAACATCTTCCATCTCCTTGTAGACTTTATCTGCAGGAAAAAGAGGGGAATGAAGCTTTATTTTAAAATACCCTGGTTTAAATCTGAGAAACTTCTGACAATCAAGCTGTGCAGGGAGGCCTATGTGGAGTCTTGAACTTGACAGGGAATGCCTGTTGCTTTAACATTTCAGATAATGGTGAGGCAATCTGTGTGTTGGCTACAAAGATGGAGAATATAGCACATGTCCCAGTACAAACATGGGAAGGATGGGATATGGGATGGCTCACCAATTGGTTACCTAATGTCACAGGACTCAAAGGGATACTATTGTCTTGCTTGTTTTTCTTGACAGTAGTGGTAATGGTTTTATGTATGATGCCATGTATCATTTCATGTTTTAGAAGTACAATTAGCAAGATGGTTTCAAATGAAACTCTACCTCATATCATGGCCCTATACAGAGCTTTACCTCAGGAATATGATGAAGATCAAGCTATCAAGGACGCTTGGTAGCAAGGTCCTTGAGCTTGAAAGGGGGGAATGTGGCATCTGAATATAGACTGCATTTTTAATCAAGGCTTATATTGGCTTATATCTTGATCAGGTTCCTAAATTAAATGGGCTTAGATTTTCAAATGTTTCATGCCAGGCAGAAGACCAGCTGCTTAGAGAACCTTGGCAATGTTTTCCTCCTAGACAAGGGGCCCCTTGATTTATAGCAGAAAACAATTCTCAAAGTCGTAAAAAGGGAATTACAGGTTAAGAGCAAGGTTACATAGACCCAACATAATTAAGAGTTGGTAAATAGTAAAATAAAACCGTTAAACTTGAGCCACAGGACAAAAGGCCAAGAGCACATGGAAAACAAAGCAACTGGCTGGAGAAGGGGAGAGTGTAAACAGGGGAAGAGGCTTTTTTCCTATTTTATTTTGAGGCTGTAAACTGTTCCTTCCTTTTACTTTGAGGAAGTTTATCCTTCTAAAAAGCTATCTATGATAATGTATGAAATATGCTGGCTTAAATGTAATTATGCAAAGGATTTAAGAAATGCTAGATTCTTATTTCATATAGTTGTAAGAGTTGTATTTATCCTGAAATTAAGTCAGCCACCAGCCTAGCCCCCTGCCAGACAGGAGACGCCAATCGAGCACTCATGACAAATGGTTGTCAGGCCTTTGTTTAAAGACCTCCAAAAGGAGATATTTCATTGATGATGCATGAGAATATGAACCCAAGGTCTCTGACATCTGTTCAAGATAAAAATTTAAAATTATTAACCATAGGGCAAGGAGGGCAAGAGGTGAGCTGGTAATTAAGATTCCTTGTTGAGACACATGTAAAATATATAGCTCTTTGTGTTCCATATAAGGACAGGAGGATATGGGTGTATCTTTTTGTGATTGGTTCTAGCAATCAGCCAATAGGAATTTCAACCAGGCTGATTGGACAGAGGCAGCCACAGGAGGAGCAAAGGGGGCTGGATTAAGGGAATATAAGTGCTGGCCATAATGGCAGGAGGCCAGGCCAGAGCTTGGTAACCATATACCACTGTGCCTCTCATTTATTTGTCAGACAAATAAATTATTATTTTAATTTCTCTGTTGCTGCGTTGAACATTTCATTCCAGCTAAGCGTTAACCACAAGCAGGGTGCTACATTAGCTCTGTGCTTTCCCCATCCTGATCATAGAACTCCCCTCCTTTTCCCTTATGAGGCTCAAGAATGTGGCAGCTGTGAGCCTCCAATGAAGCGCGGGGGATACTGACAAAATTACGTTGTTGATGACAATAGCTGACATTAGAACACAGACCAAGACTTCTTTGGCTCAGGACCCCAGTACATTGGGGGCTGCCTTTCTCCATAAAACCTACTTATGCTCTAAGTTTGCCACCTGAAGCCCTTCTCTGTGTATTTCCTCTGAGAGATGTTCATTATCCAAGTGGTGACGCATTTTAGCACCTTTTTGAGCATTCTGCATAGAAGCAATAACATTATCCCAGCAGACTAATCTAGTACAGTTGACAAGTCAGCACAGAATCTCTGTTCCCATATATTCTAATAAGTAGTATTAATCTGCAGACAGCTAAATATACATATTATACACCCACATAGCTTACTTGACACACAACAAGCACCATTTTTGCCAAATCCATCTGGCTCACCTTTTCCCACTCAGGCTTCCCAAATTGATTCATTCAGTGGAAATTGGTATGACAGGTGAAGTATGGACTGGTTCAGTCAGTGATGGGTTATAAAATAAATAAATATATGAGGAGTAGGCAGAAATACCATCAAAGTGCTAGATGCCCAGGGGGAGACTGAACTTCTATCTATTTGATTTTAATGTACCAAGCTGTTGCAGTTGAGAATGCCTTTGATGATCGCTTCTAATGTACGGCCAAGTGTAGGAGAAACTACATTTGCATATCAGATATAGATCAAATATTTTCAGTTCAGTTCACTGAGCCTTTCCAAAACAGCCACAAAAATTTTCCTTGGAACATGTCCCACTTTTAGACTTCAAAGATAGGTTATTAGGCCTGAAGTGTTTTGTGTGGGTTTAAAAATACATATATATACATTTTAGTTGATTGTCAGAATGAATATTTGTCATCCACCCATTATGAAACCTTGGAAGAATCACAACCTGCTACTAAAAAAGCAGACAAATCTAAGCTCTTCCCTACAGGGATCCAGAGAGGTGCTTGCTTCCATTGCAAAGTTCTCCCTCACCTTGAACATCTGGATAAGACACCATGAGGAGCAGTCCCCATTGCAGAGTAGCAGCAGTCGTCTCTGTCCCTGCGATAAAGAGGTCAAGAACACACTCTGCCAGGTTGCTTTCATCAAATGTAGAATTGGGGTCATCCTTGCTCTATTGACAATAATGGAAAAGGTGAAATGTTGGAATTAATTACAGGCCACGCAAAATCTATCTGACCTTGGGGTGGGGGGGGTGTCTTCCTATTGCAACACCTAATAATATGTTTTGCAGGTGAGTGTACTGGGAGATATCTGTACAGAGTCATGGATTGGAGTAGTAATCTAAAACAGCATTACAGTGTAAAGGGTACAGGAAATGATCTTTTCTTCTGAAGACATGTACCATAAGAGGTAATAAAAAGAAAACACAGAATTACAAGGTGAACTGGGGTGATCTGGGAAAAGTTTTCCAAATCAAATCACCCCACTAACAACGTTTCTCAAAGCAGATCTGGGACTTTCTAAACTTCTGAATAGCTCTGCAGCTCAGTTGTCCAAAAACCATTCATCAGCCAGTCTTCTCCTACCCCCAAAATGGAATCAAACTGATTGGAGAAGCACCCACAGCATGATAGGTGATGGGGTGAAGGGTGGGGATGGGGGGGATCTTTCATTTTGATAGGACTTGCTTTTAAGTTCTCCCCCAAGAACATAATGTTACATGGCAGCATATAAATGATAGATAGATGATAGATAGATAGATAGATAGATAGATAGATAGATAGATAGATAGATAGATATAGATAGATGATAGATAGATAGATAGATAGATAGATAGATAGATGATAGATAGATATAGATAGATGATAGATAGATAGATCTGATATGAGTTTGTGCGGTGCGAGACATCCTAAATTCCTGGGTCCAATAAAAGTTAGAATTAATCACAATTTGGGGGTTAAACTGTGCTATGCATTGAACCCCTGCCTTGTGACAGTGGGTCATTAGGGGAACAAAGCCCAGTAAAGACTGAGTTGTGAAGAAAAAGTAGAGAGATCATTAGGAGAATCACTGCCAGAAATTCAAATGGGTAAAGCCCCTCCCTAGTCCCTGGTTTTAGTTAGTAAGACAAAAGACTTCCGGTAGTTTTTAGGACTGCAGTTTGCCTGATATGTGAGGGAGGAAAATCTTGGGTAGTCAGCAAGCTATAGAGGGGGCCAGAGTGATGTTTTGGAGCATGTTTGATTTCTGTTTGAATCCAGAACTGTATCTATGGGAGAAGCAAGGCCTTCTTAGGGTGTGAATGCTCTGAACCTCTCCAAGGCAGGCTCAGGCTGTATATATGTGTAAACCATACATCATAAAGATACCACCGTTTCCACTGTGCCACATTTCCAAAGGATACACAGACCCTGGGTAAAGTCCCAGACCTCTGGACTCTCGCACTGCTGTGGAGATTGTGGTGGCATGTAACAGATCTTTTTCCATCGTTGTAGGACATAATCATGTGTGGAATAGCCACTAATCCTCAGAAGTATGGGAGCTGGGCTTCATAATCATGATCACATAGCACACAGAACCTCACTTTTGTCCCTATTAAAATTCATTTTGTTAATGTGGGTCCAGTTTTTCAATCTGTTAAGGTCATTTTGAATTCTGATTCTGCCTTCAGAATTCATAGATGAGACCAGGAATGTGTGTCTATATGGTGCAGCAAGATGGTTCTAGGTGTTGGACTTCTGCTAAATCCAACAGAGTTTGCTTTGTTTCATGCACTAAAGTGTCTTGAGCTATTATTGGATACTTACTTTCTCAATTTGAAGTAAATAGAAATCAATGAAATCCTGAGGCTCATCCTTTTGCTGCTTTCTATGCCTTTCTACCTCTTCCTTTGCAAATGAATGTACTAGCGCTATGGAAGAAAATGCCTTATTGTGAGGTCCTGGGAGATGTTTCATCAACCATGGGAAGAGTTCATACAGCTGCAGGGAAGAAGAAAACAAAACCTGTCACTCTCATGACTTGGTCTAGCAATATGTTTTAATCTCACATTTTCTCCAAGGGGTTCAGTGTGATATATCTCCCTCGCCCACTTTATTTTCAAAACAACCCTGAGAAGTAGGTACACTTGTGTGATAGTGAGCACAGAATAAAACACCCCATTGTCCTAAGCCAAACTCTCCAAAATGGGCTGGGGAAATTTTTTTTCTGCCCACCTAGGTCCACATTCCAAAATCTGATAAGTCCAAGGCAAACACATCAATAGGTTAATCTTATTTAGTAGGCTTCTGCACCTGCTAACTTCTACCTCCCTTAATACTCACTACTATCCTTATTTATGAGTGTTTTTTCTAGTGTGTGAGTTGAGGTTATTAGTCCAGTGCTTAGCAAGTCTGCTTTGAATACCTTCATGACATACTACTCTAAGAGTAGTACCAGAATAGTTCTGTGAATACTTATGGCAGTGAAGGCCTCTCTGACACCCATCAGAAAAAAAAACATTACTCACACAATGAATTATGGAACCTCCATGTTTTAAGCAAAAATCAACACCTTCCATCATTTTTTGGAACTTTTCGTCTTCGAGGGAAAATCGGTACCCAAAAGCCAAAACACATATTAAATTGGAAACTGCATTTGTGATGGGCAGTGATGGATCAAGTGGCTGTCCTGAAATGAAGTTATTTACAGATATTGTTGAGGCTTGCATTAATTCATACGTTTTCTTTTTCTTGAAATGCCCTTGCATGAACTCATTTTGTACGAAGCTTGTAAAATGCTAATTAACTCAGCTTGCTCTTGCATTTTGAATATATATATATATATATATATATATATATATATATATATATATTGCAAAGAAACAGCTAGCCTCTTATCCAAAATGTGCTTAGGGTGCAATAGTGTGCAAATTTATCTGGAAATAAGGCTAACTGAATTTACTTTTGAGTAATTCTCCCACATCTTGATTCTCCCACATCTTGTTCCACTCCCCACTAGTGATAGCACACACCAGTTCTGCTTAGACTTAATTTCCCCCCTACAAACATCACCTCAACTTCCCATCTATTGTTCTCTCCCTTCCAGCTGATAGCAGCTACTGAAAGAAAATGGGGAACCTGAGGACTTCCGGGTTGACGCGATCGGCTAATGGCGGATTCCCTCCAAGCTCCGGAGGGAATCGGCTCTGCTGAAGACAGGTCTTACCGTGCCGGTGACACGGGGACCCATAGAAACCACAGGTGCGGATGCCTGTGGACTTGGTGACTCAGCGGGCACCTTAAGCGCCCTCCCTGACCCACGAAGAGCCTTTTTAAAGGCTACGGAGAGGGTACGGAGAGTGGCGTGGTGCTGGGAGTAGACCGCTACTTCAGTGGAGCGAAGCCGCGAGCCATGGCCGGAGAGCGTTAACTTTTTTCCCCGAAATTTGGACTGGAAACAAATACCCGTGAGTACAAGGAATTCGGACTTTAAAAATTTCTACCTTTAATTTGGTACGACCGGGGGGATGTGCTAAAGGGAAGTCCGCACCCCCCTATCTACAAACGATCTAAAGCAAGGATCGGAGAACTAAGGTTGAGAGAACAGTGTGTTTTTGGTGTATGATAAAATATATTCCACGAATTTGACAGAAGAAGTTTTTTGTGCTGGAGAGAAGAGAGGAGCGTTAGAAAAATTTGTGTAACCCCCCCCTCCCGAACCCGGGAGCGTCCTGTGTGTGAGTCCTACGAAAAAGAACAAGGAGTTTGACAGCTGTCAAAGGAGCTGTCAAACGGGTGGATAAAATTAAGAATTGCATTACTTAATATCTCTCTGGACTGAAGGTGTTACATTTTACTAGAAGTGGTTGGAAACAAAGTAATAATAAAAAACAAAGTAACGGACTGTTGGAAAGGAAAGGAACTATTGAGTAACTGGAATCCCCCTAGGGGGAACTAGTGACATTACAATGGCTGCAGAGGGAAAATTACTGGCAGAAATTGAAAGATCTTTTTTTCTCGTGGGAATTTTGCAAGAGCAGAGTATGGCTATGAACAAAGAACTCACGACCTTGATTTCTAAAACAAACAACCCTGCTGATGGAACAAAGGACTTGAATGGGAAAAAATCTGCAGCTGAATCAGAAGCGACATCTGTGGAATTGGTGGGAAAGGAAGAAGGAGGGGAGAAAGTATTGGCAGAAAATACCAAGCAGAAGCCTATGTTGTCAGAAAATGAAGCAGAAGATTTTTGGATTACAAATTTGGGAAAGATGAGAAGGATGAGAAAAGCAAAGGAGGAAGTCTCTGGATTTTTTGGAAAAAGAGCAAAGAAATATGACTGGGACTTCCTCTTCTTTTCTGAGTTTGAGTACGGGAGATCTATGGTAGATCTTTGGCAGCAAGTTCTTTCAACCATCTTGGGTGCAAGAGAAGGAGATGTGGCTGTGACAGATTACCCTCGAGACCTGAGGTCCAACAAAAAGGACTACCAACAAAACCGACAGAGAGAGACTGACAGAGATTTAAAGGCCTCGGATGTGAGGAATCCGGGCTAGGAACTGTATGGGTGGATAATTATTTGGGAAGGGACGGAAACCGGGGTAGGGAGGGAGGGGGAGAGCAGAAGTTGGAAAATTTATGACTTTTGTGTTTGGTTATTTTGACTCATATTTTAATATAAAAAAGGGGAAATTTGTGGATGAGAAATTAGGTCGACCTTAGAAAAAAGGATTTGATGTTAATATGAGAATGGGATAAGTAAAATTTGACTTAGTAAAAAGAATCAAGTTTAAAAACAACAGATTAGGTTAAAGGAAGGGACAAAAACTTGCTGAACTAACTTTGGAAATTGGGATGTATGAGGGGTGGGGTGGGGGGAAGTCAGGGAAAGAGGGATAAGAAAGTAAGGGTATGAAATTATATGTGTTTTGTCTTTGTCTTTTTATGTGTGTGTTGTCTGTATAAAATTTGAAAACCCAATAAAAATTATTAAAAAAGAAAAGAAAATGGGGAACCTACCAACCCCCCAATAATTCCACTGAATGTTAATGGCCACCATTAGCACCTCAATAAAACAATTCAGAGCTGACAAGGAGCTGAGTTGTAGAATTAATGGATGTTTGAAAATTTGTCATTTGGTTTGCTATTTTTTGTCTGCTGCAAAAAAATTCTGTACTGCTAAATATTGCCGATCACCTTGCAAACATTCATAAACATGCAGAGCTTGGTATCAAGCTTGATTCTTACAAAATCCATCACCATTATCCAGTGTCATTATCCAGTATCACATACCCTTTGCCTGCGCAATGATCTTCACAAGCTCAATGGCCTCCTCTTCTATTTGGTGCTCCATGCCTTTCTTCCCCAGCCCCAGCTTCCGCATAGTAATCACGCCGAAACGTCTGTGCTGCTTCCAGATGTGACCATTTGAAAATACCATGCCTAAGACAATCAAGAATCAATGAGAAAATATTACTTACAGTGTTACAAAGAAGTGTTTTATCTGGCATTGCTCTCTCATGTCCCCCTAACGGAACTGGAGGGCTGCTCACTGACAGGGCTGAGCAGAACTCTGAGCCTCCTGTTTGTACTGACAAGGACTGCTACATATGTAATTGACATCTGACCTACCCCTGATGTATGCTCATTGGGGACAGGTCCAGCAACACTATGGTGAGGCCAGGAACTAAACATGCTTTATGTGGGCTGGGACTGCAACAAGATGCCCGGGGTATTAATAATAATTAATAATAAATGCATTATTATTATTATTATTATTATTATTATTATTATTAATGCTGAGGTGCAGCCTTACAGCTGTCCAGATGCAGCACTCAGTGGGTGGGGCACCCATCTTGACAAGAAAGCTCTACCAGTTGCTCAAAGGCTTCTCTGAAGCAATTTGTATAGTCTACATGTATTTTATGTATTAATCTATTTTTAATCTTTTGCTGGAAGCCGCCCAGATGGGCGGGGTAGAATTATTATTATTATTATTATTATTATTATTATTATTATTATTAACATGCCCCTGCATCTGCACCTTGGTTCTCTTGGCCTGCCATCCAAGACCCTGGGCCTACTAACTCCAGTTTGCTTGGGCCACTGCCTTCACTTGTTCATGGACATCACAGAATCATAGAGTTGTAGAGTTGGAAGGGATCCTGAGGATCGTCTAGTCCAACCCCTTGCAATGCAGGAATATGCAGCTGTCCCATGCAGGATCGAACCTGGAACCTTGGCAATTTTCTAGGGGAAAAAAAACACTGGCTGTATCCAGTTTCTCAGAGCAGACCCATTCAAATTAATAGACCCAAGTCTATGAAAAGGATCTAGGAGTCTTGGTTGACCACAAACTTGACATGAGCCAACAGTGTGACGCGGCAGCTAAAAAAGCCAATGCAATTCTGGGCTGCATCAATAGGAGTATAGCATCTAGATCAAGGGAAGTAATAGTGCCACTGTATTCTGCTCTGGTCAGACCTCACCTGGAGTACTGTGTCCAGTTCTGGGCACCACAGTTCAAGAAGGACACTGACAAACTGGAACGTGTCCAGAGGAGGGCAACCAAAATGGTCAAAGGCCTGGAAACGATGCCTTATGAGGAACGGCTAAGGGAGCTGGGCATGTTTAGCCTGGAGAAGAGGAGGTTAAGGGGTGATATGATAGCCATGTTCAAATATATAAAAGGATGTCATATAGAGGAGGAAGAAAGGTTGTTTTCTGCTGCTCCAGAGAAGCGGACACGGAGCAATGGATCCAAACTACAAGAAAGAAGATTCCACCTAAACATTAGGAAGAACTTCCTGACAGTAAGAGCTGTTCGACAGTGGAATTCGCTGCCAAGGAGTGTGGTGGAGTCTCCTCCTTTGGAGGTCTTTAAGCAGAGGCTTGACAACCATATGTCAGGAGTGCTCTGATGGTGTTTCCTGCTTGGCAGGGGGTTGGACTCGATGGCCCTTGTGGTCTATTCCAACTCTATGATTCTATGATTCATCACACCCATTTATTTCAGTGGGTCTGCTCTGAGGATGCCTAATATTGACTACAACCTTATATGTTCCAGAGGGAGGGAGAGAGAGCCCTCAGTGGGATGACCTGTGCACATCTTGTGCCTCTGTTCTAAATTAGCAGCCCATGCCATGGCCACTGAAGGCAACAGGTGTTTCTCCATCAACATGTTTTCAAGCTGGACTTGAGCTATCATCCATAGATTCTATCCAAAAGTACCAGGAGCCACATGTTTTAGGCACACATGGATGTCACTCAGCTCAAGACTCCTAGCTGCACCTTTTGGCTGACATTTTGAGGCAACTTGGCCCAAACGTCATCAGTTTTCTTTGATGGCTTGCCAAGTTGGCCAACAGGCAGATCAACACTGTTCAGGATGTATGCAGATTTTACTGCAGGGCTTTGCCAAGTTCAAGAACTCTGTCTTCCTTAGGCATTTCCCAAAGGATAACTTAAGTTACAAGTCCCATACTACCTTCATTTATCCTCCTTACAACCACCTACTCTGGATTCTTTTAGATTTCCCCCCAGATTCGTGTACATTCAATTACTCTGCTCCTTATCAGTCACTTCTTCCTTCCAAGCAAGCAAAACTTCCTCTTTGAGCACCTCCTGATAATCTGTGTCTTCCACATTTGCATCACTTTTATAGACTTCTGGCTTTTATGTAACAGACTATATAAACTAAGGATGATGTGGTAATCTCAGTGCCTAAAGACATTGCTGACAAATGTGGTGCAATGGCTACTTTCAAGAACTCATGTGCTGGAGAAAACTCCAGATGATGGAAACATTCAGAGCATTATTCTCTTTTGCTTGGTGGTTTCTCTGGAGAAAAGGTCTTTCAAACCCATCACTCTTCACAAAAACTTACCCTTCTTTTTAAGTGCAGTTTTCAGGAATGGGGTTACTGGTCGGTCGAACAGGTCATCGAAATGGTTTGTAAGGCCTTCTTTCACTGCTTGGTATCCAGATAGTACTACTGCTGGTACATATGCTCCCCATATACAGTACACATTTCCATATTGCTTTGCTATCTGCCATTTGGATCAAAAGAGAAATATTGCATTCAAACCAAGCAGATCAATTCAAGTTAATGCATTGACTACAGCCTTCCTCACCGCTCCAGCTTCTGGCTGTGTGCTGCTTTTCTCTAGTTTTCTCTTCCTGTCAGATTCCTATTGCTTGCCTTATCACCTTCCCTTCATTCTTCTGGGTCATTCCATCTTCCAAACACCCATTTGAAGCAAACACCCCCTTCCTGTCCCTGACTGCCTTGCTCTTGCATAGAATTAGAACAGTACAGGCGTGGGGATACTGACAAGGTTCTTCACAACCAGAAAAACAATGCATTAAGTGACAAACAGTCCATTAGTGAAATTGGGAGTTTAGCTAGGAGATGGTTAATGGGACCAGAATGATCGCAAATGTTCCTTGATAGGCAGAGCTGCCCCAAACACCCTTTGTTTGGGAAACTACCGTATTTACTCGAATCTAATGCTCACCCTTTTTGGCCAAATTACCACTGCAAAAAATAAGGTGCACCTTAGATTCGATGGTGCATTAGGCTTGAGTAAATATAGTAAGTTAATAGTTTAAGAAAGCTATGAGATTATTGGGGAAAATGTCTTGTCCTGATTACCATCCACTAGCCTGTGGAAAAGGGGTAAGATATTGGGAGTGTAGAATAGTAGACTGCATTTTCTAGGTCACCCCCATCCCCTACATTTAAAGCACATGAGTTCCTCCAAAGAATCCCAGGAACTCTCCACATAGCTCTTGTTATGAGAAATGATTTATTGTATTAATAAAGCTGCACACCATTGTGATATTTCAGAAAAACACATATATCAATACTACTTCTCAATACTGATTCTATGTAATCTTCTTTGAAAATGTATCAAATGTATTGTTGTTTCAATATATAAGTTTCTCCTATAAGTATGTTTTGTTTCAGTCTATAAGTATATGTTTCTTCTATAAGCGTATCTTTCTGTATAAATGTAGTGTTACGTATTGTTAAGGTTATGAAAATGTTCCTGGTACTGTCAGTGTAAGTGCAACTGTATCGGTTGGTCTGTGCTAAAACACCACCACATTATCACTTACTGGGTCTACTATGCTATGGAAACTGTTCACAAAATCACACAAAACACAAAAATTATTCCACAATGGTTCATTCATGATCCTGCAATCCCATTCATACAAACGTTAACGTCAATGCCCAAAGCTAACACCTGTCTTCTTCCTGCGGGCGTCAACCACAGCTATAATTTCCAGCACCCTCAAAAGTTCCCAGGATTCTTTGGGAGGAAGGATTATTTAGTGTGGGTGTGACCAAAGGCACAGGAAGAGAGCAGACATTGCACTCTGTAAGCTAACAACATTTAGATGGAAATCTGGCATGGGATCAGTGGATTTGACTGTTTACACCTATGCATATATTACAAAATGACATAAGTCTCTGGCGTAAAGAAACTGGATCCTGATAAGCAGTGTACCCCTGGGAATCCTCATTGTTGGGAGAAGTGGAGTGAGCATAACACAGTAGCAGAGAAAGGTGGGGGCGGTGCCGTCCCTAGGGGGGTGACATCGCCACGGGCGGCACCACCCGGGACACTCCCACCACCGGGATGCACGCCGGCATCGGTGCACCCCCGTGGGCGGCTAGCCCCGCCCCCGTGAGCCGCTCCGGGTCCCAGAGCAGCTAGCTCCGCCTCTGGCATAACACAGCCCCAGACATGTTTCCTTGGACATGTTTAGCCATCTTGTGGATTGTGAAATGGATCTTTTGCTTTCAACATCTCCATCTTACAATTAGAATGCAGTTGTGCGTGGAATTGTGTTTCATAAGTAAATGGCCACAACATTTGGTAAGCTGTATTGTTTTCAATATAGTTTCTTCCTTAATGAGAATCCAGGTTTACAGTAGTAGTAACAACAACAACAACAACAATGTATTATTCATATGCCACCTATCTGACTGAGTCACTACAGCCACTCTAGGCGGCTCCCAACAAAGTATTAAAAATATAACAAAACACCAGCCATTAAAAACTTCACTGAACAGAGCTGCCTTCAGATGTCTTCTAAAAGTCAAATAGTTGTTTACTTGTCTGACATCTGACAGGAAGGTGTTCCACAGGGTGGGTGCCGCTACTGAGAAGGTCCTCTGAGACAACAAATCAGCAACCAAATGCCAAATCAGCACTACCAGAAGTTATGGGGAACAGGTCATTAACTGGTCATTAATTGGGAAGATTGCAAGTTAGATCTCCATTGGATATTTCGTTTTCAACATCATTTTGCAGCTGAAACCCTTGTGTGTGTGTGTGTGTACTAGTAGAGGTGTGCACTGACCACAAAACTGTTCGGATCTTGGTTTGGCACTTCAGAAAACTGTCCACTTCAGTCCAGACCCATGCAGAGGAAGGGAGGCAGCTGGGTATATTTGCCCTGAGCCTCAGAAGGCTGAACTGGCTGGGGAACCCGCCAGGGACCAACTGCTTTTTTGGTTTGCGTTTATAACTTTGTGTTCCAGATAGGGGTGCAGCTGGGCTGCCAGTCAAAGTTGATGAAAGGCACTCTGTGCCACTGAGGCCACCTGAGCCTCAAGTGACAGCAAAGGACCCAGAAGTAGCCCTAAGCCTGTTCCTTCAGAGGGAGCGATTGTGTCAATGGCCTGAGCCACTTGGATGTTCCAGAGGCTGACCAGGGCTTTGTCAGGAGCGCCAGTCAAATCAGACAGAAATTCCCCCAAAGCTGTCTAGAAACCCATTGGATGCATCAGCCCCACGTAGGTCCCCTGCCTTCACACATGGGAAAAAGTGCTGAAAGCCTAAATCTCAGCAGGAGGTGATCTGACTATGACAAGGGGCTGATTTCAATATTTCCCACTTTCAGATCACCCCCTTCCTGCCCAGTTGAGAAAACAAGGTCCAGAGTATAACCTGCCAGGTGTGTTGGGCTGGTGACATGCTGGGACAACCCTCTCTTCCCAGGCACATCCCACAAAACCACCAAATTAAAAAACATACAAGTTAAGAACAGTTAAATACAGTTAAAAACAGCTAAATCATTTTAGACAATTGGAGCCATACTAGCAAAACCAAAACCAGCTAAACAATGCCCCAACTCAAAGATTTTTTTTTTTATCTTTTAATTTTTGTATGCTTTAAAGCAGGGTTGTGAATGATTCTTCATTTTTCTGTTTTATATTTTTGTAAACTGCTTTGAGGTTTTTTTCTTACAGTCATTTAGTTTCATAAAATGTATACACAGCTTGATCGTCAAAAACCCTCAAAGCAGTTGGCAAAAAGTAACCATATGCAGAACGGACATGAACTTTGTGTATCTGTACTGTAAATAGTTTGCACGATAAAACCTGCAAAAGACAGGTCGGAGTCCTGCCTGGTTACTCATGAGCAACCACCACACAGCATCTGACAGAGAGAAATAAAAAGTAATTATATAAAAATACATTTTAGGGTTTTGAATCAATAATCAAATAGTGGATCTTATTCCGATTGCTCCAGCTAAAAACCTTGCAACCTTTGCTGTCACCTGCTCATCTTGATCTGCCAAAAGAAAGGACACAGTGGCAGTGGTTGGGTGACCCGGAATGGACAATAAAAGAGGGGTGGTAATCTCATTCCTCAAGTATTTATAAAGAGTGCAAGCCAGAAGGGCATGCGAGAGCCTTGAAGATAATCCACTCCAGGCACGTCCAACTCCCAAGAGACTACTCCCAGTATAAAAAAAAACTGGCAGTGATCTACCCATTCTTATTGGAGGGAGGAGGAGCATGTATGGGGTGGGTGGGTGGAAGGTGGTGGCTAACTGGAAGCAGGGGGTGGGGTGGGGGTAGAATTGCCCAAAGTTGCTTTTTTTAGGGGGCTACATCAGGATGCATAATGAAACACTAAGACAGGAGGCATTCCTTGGGATTTCAGCCAGAGACGGAGGAAAATACTGACAGGGGCGGGGGACGCAGATCGACCGTGATTGATATGGAACTACCCGGTGGTCTGCCTATTAATTGCAGTCGACTGGTTTTACATGTCTGATCTGCTCTAACATTTGCTCAGCACAGGATCTGCAATGCAGGCTACAACTACTACCAGGGCTTCCCACACACCAGTTCACAGGAGCTGAGCTCTGACACCTCTAAGGTGGGCACCATTGCCATTCTAAAAGAACACAGGAGAAGCTCATGGAGTGCTCCTCTTTTTCTAGAAAAATAGCACTGACTACTACAGTATCCCTAGCATAAGACCATAAAGCTCGCTACCTCCTAAGGAAGTCAGTTCTATTACTCAACAGCTCTTACAATTCTGAAGTTTCTCTTAAGCCTTTTGTCACAATCTACTTTCTTGCCATTTCTATTCTTCCGTTCTAGTCCTTCCCTCTTGAGCAACAGAGAACAAGTCTGCTCTATCTTCTGGATAATAGCCATTCAGTTATTTGAAGACTTTTGTCATGTCACACCCTTAATCTTCTCTTCTCCGGGCTAAACTTTCCCAATTCTTTCAACCATCCCTCAAAGGATTTGGTTTTGAAATTACTTTTGGTGGAGAAGTCAACAAGAAGGAGAGAATATTGGGTGGAATCGTTAGCAAGCCAAAATCCCTGGATTGATTAATGTAGACACAAGGTTTTTCCAACAAAACACTTTTATCCCCAGTTACCTGAGGAAGAAAATAATTTGCAGTTCTTCTTGCTAAGCTTCTTACCCGGCTGATTAATTATTAGGAAAAGGTACCTGAATGAGCGTTTCTTGAGTAGCCATGATCCCGATCCGCCAGAGACCACCAATGATAGGAAGTGAAAGAGGACCAGGAGGGTAGTGTCTTCGTGACCAGACATGTTTCAGGAAGTGCAGAATCAGAAGACTCACGGACAGAACAATAAAAAGTTCCCAGATCCCTGCCATTTCTTTGCTTCTTCTTTCTGTCTTTGTATCCTCCTTGTACAGCTGTCAGTTAACTGTGATTTCTCCTGTGGTTTGTTGCTTCTTTTTGAGATGGCTGCCAAATGCGGCTGTTTCTCCATCAACAGCATGTTATATACTCCCCAGCCAAAGATGCAAGCGACAAGATTTCATTGCAGCATCTTCAATTAGTGATAGTTTGCTATCAAGATAGTTAAGCCTGATAACATTTTAAGCAAATAGTTGAAAAGCCTGTTTGGTCAAAGTAATCCTGCACACCAGTTACCCAGCAGGCATAAATATGCCAAGCCAATGCCCTACCCTTACCCAGCCCAGAACTACAAGGCGGGGGGAGCAGCTTTCAGTGCCTCCTTGTAGCAATGACACCCTCATTTGCACTCAGACATGGAGAGAACCAGTGCACTGGCATCAAGGCTCCCCTGTCTGGAATATCTCCCTGTCCCACCCCATACACAATAGTCCCACAGCACCTCCCATTCCAGGAACTCCTCACCACCACAGTTTGGGGCTTTCCCAACACCGCTTCTGAGACAAACCTCACCCTAGATTGGGATCCTCCCGACTCTGTTTCATTTGCTCCAGGGACTCAAGGGCAGCCCAGCAGCTTTGTTGTTGCCTCTTCAACATTGAGTTAAAAAGAAGTAAAAACTCATGTCAGCTTTTACAGGTCTGAGTAGGCTTACATGTCTGGATAAGTTCGTGTTTTGACAAACAGGAAATTCATCTGAGCCTTATATGCACATTGACTATAACTGTCGTTGTCAGTTTGTGGGGTTTAGTCTGCATAATGCCTGAGTCCCTTCTAATCCCTGTGGTCCTGGATCCAGCAAAGGTTAAAATCTATTGGAGGATTCCGTTATTGAATTGTCCAAGCAAGTTCCTTTGTGAGAGAATGGTCATAGTTACCACCTAAGTGTGGTTGTTAGTCTGACAAAGGACGCTGCTCTGAGCCAGAGGGCAAATGAATGGGCCCCTCCCTCACATGGCTGGTAGTAAGAAAGATGAAAGCCACAGCTGAGTTATGTGAGCTGGGCTAGAAGCAGGCAGAGTGAGAGCAATAGAATCATAGAACTGTAGAGCTGGAAAGGACCCCGAGGGCCTTTGAGTACAAGCCCCTGTAATGCAGAATCTTAAACAAAGCATCCGTGACAGATGGCCATCTAACTTCTCCAAGGAAGCAGAGTCTACCACCTTCTGAGGAAGACTTTTCCTCAGAAACAGCTCTCTCAAACAGCTCTTAGCACCAGAAAATTATTCCTTTTTTTAAAATAATAATAATAATAATAATAATAATAATAATAATTATTATTATTAATTTATTGAATTTATATACTGCCCTATACCTGGAGGTCTCGGCGGTTCACGGAACAAAATCAAAATATAAAACCAAAATATATATAATCAAAATAAAAAAACCACCCAATAACACCCCCCTCAAAAAAAGAAAAAGAAAAAAGAACCACATTTTAAAACGGCATAGGATGTCAATCAAATCAACCAAAGGCCTGGTTAAAAAGGAACGTTTTCGTTTGGCGCCTAAACCTGTATAATGAAGGCGCCAGGTGAATTTCCCTGGGGAGAGCATTCCACAGATGGGGAGCCACTGCAGAAAAGACCCATTCTCGTGTTGCCACCTTCCAGACCTCTTGAGGAGGGGGCACACGAAGAAGGGCCTCAAAAAGATGATCTGAGGGTCCGGGTAGAGTCATATGGAAAAAGGAGGTCCTTGAGGTATTGCGGTCCTGAGCCGTTTAAGGCTTTATGGGTCAAAATTGGGCCCAGAAACTAATTTGTAGCCAGTGCAGTCGGACCAGGATCGGTGTAATATGCTCAAACTGTCTTGCTCCAGTGAGCAACCAGGCTGCTGAATTCTGCACTAGCTGAAGTTTCCGTACTGTCTTCAGATGCAGCCCTATGTATAACACATTGCAGAAATCTAACCTTGAGGTTACAAGAGCATAGGCAACAGTAGTTAGGCTATTCTTGTCCAGATAGGGGTGTAGCTGGGCCACTAGCCGAAGCTGATGGAAAGCACTCTGGGCCACTGAGGCCACCTGAGCCTTGTCCATCACTTCCACTGCCTCATCTACATATGTAAAGGAGAAACAGAGCTGAGTGTCATCAGCATACTGCTGACAATGTACTCCAAACCTCAGGTTAACTCCACCCAGCAGTTTCATGTAGATGTTAAACAACATGGGGGGTAGGTTTGAGCCCTGCAGAACCCCACACTGAAGGTCCCATGGGACTAAAAAGCATTCCCCAAGTAACACCCTCTGGGAATGACCAGTAGGACTGGAACCACAGCAAAGCAGTGCCACCCACCCCTAGTTCAGAGAGTCAGTCCAGAAGTATACCATGATTGATGGTTTCAAAACCCGCTGAGAGATTGAGAAGAATTAACAAGGACATGTTTCCCTTCTCTCTCTCAATAGAGGTCATCATACAGGGCAACCAAAGCAGTTTCTGTGCCAAAACTAGGCCTAAACCCCGATTGAAATGGATCCAGAAAATCAGTTTCTTCCAAAAGCACCTGGATCTGGTCTGCAACCACTTGCTCCAGAACCTTGCTCAGGAAAGGGAGATTAGCAACTGGCCAGTAGTTGGTTAGGTTTTCTGAATCCAGGGAAAGTTTCTTAAGGAGTGGTTTTACCACTGCCTCCTTCAAACAGGCAGGGACCACCCCCTCTTGTAAAGATATATGAATGATATATGAAGATTTAAATACCCTACTAGAAAGGAATTCACACATTTCTATGAACCTAATAATTCAGTGGGACAAATAGACACCATTTTGACCTTGAAATAGCTATTAATAAATGTAAATAAGGTGGAAATCCAGCCAAGAACAATCTCAGACCATAACCCGATATGGGTATGGATGAAAGGAGCGGAGAAAAGAGTGAGCAGATGGAGACTAAATGAGAGTTTGCTAAATGATGAAATTGTCCTTCAAAAAGCAAGGGTAGCATTAAAATAATTTTTTGAATATAACTTGAACCAAGGAACAGACATTAAAACTGTATGGGACGCAAGCAAGGCTGTGCTAAGAGGATTCTTCATACAACAGAACACTCATCAAAAGAAAATTAAAGAGAAAAATTGAGATATGGGAAGAAATTGGAAGAAATGAAAAAGAACTATTTAGCAAGCCGGACAATGAACAAATTAAATAAAACATAAAACTATTACAGACACAATTTTCGATGACCATTAATCAAGAAATCAAATGGACAATTAAGTGGCTAAGGCACACGAGTTTTGAGTTTGCCAACAAACATGGAAAATTATTAGCCTGACAACTTAAAAAGAAACAAAATGAAAGAATCATAAATAAAATTAAAATTGAAGATAACATAATTGATGACCCAAAGGAAATAAATAGAAATTTTGTGAACTTCTACAGGAAATTATATAAAGAAGGATCAGAATGCAATGAAGAAATAGAAGAATACCTGAAACAAAACAAACTCCCAAAAATACCAAAGGAGAAAATTATTTCCTTAAACTCATCAATCACAGCAATGGAAGTAGAACAAGCCATTAAAAGAACAAAAATAGGGAAGACGCTGGGCCTGGACAGCCTTCCAGCAAGCTATTACAAAAAACTTGAAGAATCTTTATTCCAATCGCTGAAGGATACAATGAATGATATACTAAAAAAATGGAAAGCTCACAAAATCATGGTCAGAGAGCTTCATAACCTTAATCCCTAAACAGGGAACTGACCTGACAAATATGTCTAATTATAGGCCAATTGCTCTTCTAATAATAATAATAATAATTTTTTATTTATACCCCGCCCTCCCCAGCCAAGGCCGGGCTCAGAGCGGCTTACAAGCAATAATAAAAACAAGAGGAATGATTACAACTTAAAAACAAAAATAAAATACAACATTAAAATAATGGAACATTAAAATATTAAAATGTAGCCTCATTGCAGGAGGAGAAGGAAAAGATTCTAAACAATGACTACAAAATATTTGTGGACATAATCGCAGAAAGGCTGAAAAAGATTTTTAAGGACCAGGCTGGCTTCTTCCCGGGACGCCAGATGCAAAATAACATTAGAAATGTTATCAAAGTTTGGAATACCTGGAAACCAGAATTGATAAGCCAGCAGTATTAATGCTAGTGGATGCAGAAAAAGCATTTGATAACATACCCTGGAAATTTATGAAAAAAATGTTACAACAAATGGAATTTGGCAAACATTTTTGTAAAGGAATTGAGGCTATTTATTCAGACCAACGTGCAAAAATAATTATCAATGGTAACATCACAGAAGAATGCGTAATAAGAAAAGGAACAAGACAAGGATGTCCACTATCCCCACTGATATTTATTTTGGTTATGGAGGTGTTGAACAAAAAAATAAGAGAAGATAAAAACATAAAAGAAATAACTCTAAGGGAAAAAGCATGTAAGGTAAAGGCAGACTGCCTCCAAAAATGGCAAAGAGATATTTCCAAATTCATCTGGCAGGGAAAAAGACCAAGAATTAAACATAAATTATTGGTTGACATTAAGGAAAGGGGGAGGGTTCCCTGCCACATATAATATTATATTATGAGATGACCTGTTTTACTTGGATTAGGGAGTGGTGTGTATTACAAGACCCAGACCTTTGAGATTTAGAAGGCCATGACAACTGATACTGTTGGCATGCGTACTTAGGATACTACAAAGTCAAGATTCACAAGAACTTCTTAAAGCATATCATAAGAAAATCACTTTATACGGTCTGGGCGAAATATAAAGAACTGTTGGAACCCAAAATTGTGGTGGATATCACCTCTAGAAGCGATGGCCGTAAAAAAGAAAGAACATGAGAGAAAATTGGCCAGCATATAAACTATTATTAAAGGAGGAAGAGAACCAATTGAAACTTTAAAAAATTGATGAAATAAGAGAGTATTTGTCAGATTGGCTTCAATACCACCATCTTCAAAGCAGATTGAAAAAAGGGATTTGTGGCAGAACCCTCCAGAGTAGAAACAGATCTGATAAACTCAAATGTGAAAACTCTTTCTAAAATGTATCATCTCCTAAATTCAGGTAGGTAGCCGTGTTGGTCTGACACAGTCTCTCTCTCTCTCTGTCTCTCTCTATTAAAAAATAAAAAAATATATAAAAATAAATTTTAAAAATAACAAAATAACAAAAAACCCTATGTTACAAATAAATGTTGGAGATGTGGAGAAGCAGTAGGAACAACATTGCATATGCGGTGGACATGCAAAAAAATTAGTGAGTTCTGGAACGTAGTCTATACAGAACTTAGAAGAATGTTTGAAGTTTCGTTCTTAAAAAACCCAGAGACCTTTCTTCTGGGAATCTCAGGTTCTGACATACCCAAGAATGCAAGGGAAATATTTTTATACACCATTGTGGCATCAAGAATCCTGATAGCCTCAAACTGGAAAGGAGGGAAAGTACCATCTAAGTTGGAATGGCAACAAACAATTAATTGAATATGCAGAATTGGCTAAATTAACAGGGAAAATTAGAGAATATAGAGATCAAAGGTTTATTGAAAAATGGGGTATGTCTAAAAACTATCTTTAGACAAAAAAACTATCTTAAACCCTACTGTAGTACAGTAGTATAACAGCTGTGGCAGCCTTTGAATAACTTCAGCATTACAATAGATATATGTAAGAAAATATAAATCTCTTAATGTTTAATAGCAATAACTTAGATAAACAGTGCATTAAGCAAATAAGTACTTGAAGATTTATGGAGTTGACAGGAAGTCAATGGAACCTTACGAAGATGGTGACAAAATGTAACAAATTTTTATAATATTGTGTTATAGAGAAATAACTTTGTTTTTTATATAACTATGTTACTTTAGTTATATAACTATTATATATAACTAT